TTGCAATTGATACAAGAATTTATTAATTGAAAATAATTCCATTCATCAGAAATAATGTTAAATTTGTATTCAAAAGTACACTTTTTGTTAATAATTAACTCATTTGGGCATATTTTGAGAATACGCAAAGTGAGAAAACCATTCCCTGATAACATCTAAATTATTGGTTTAAAGGTCAAATATGAAAAGTATTAAGTTCATAAAACTACGTTGTACAATATTTTTGATGAGACAGAAGCATTTCATTTCTTTCATTAGGGCCCCAGATGAAACAGTAGTACAAAGTAAATTTGAAACTAAAGTAGTGGAAAGCAGAACAAGTTCAGAGGTTGGTTACTGAACTAGTGTAGCAAGGCATGAAAACTAAAGAATTTGGAGTCAACCATTCATAGAAACACATCTTAAAGCCTTTATTTAAGAGGTGCCATGGTCTAAGGCTAAGCACACTTGGCTTGGGCATCGAGAAGAGGGAAACTAGGGAGAGAGGGAAATCAGTGTACTGGGAATAGTCTACTTATTATAGTAGGGTTTGGGAGGATGATGTCTTGAGACTTTACCCTCTGCCCCTGACCGTCATATTTGCCTGCACTGACTAGCTGCCTGGCTTCTATAATCCTCTATTCTAGGACGCATACTGCCTTATACGAAGTTGAAAATGTTTTGATGAATGTATCAATTCAGAAGAGTTGAACTCAGTCGCTAAATTTATAACGGAGAGAACAGTTACCATACATCGTCGAATTCGCCTCTGATCAGCCAAAGTTTCAAATAAGTACTCCATGCAAAGCGGTACAAAATTTATGAAAAGTTAAGGAAATAAAACAGCTCGCCTCAAATATCGATCAAATACACACACAGATGAGCATTTTATTACTGATAAAAAGAAGTTGTCGCGTTGTTACTAATTATTTAACATTTATTATTTTTTCCACAGCGTACAACAGAAATACATTCGCAAAGTGATGAACTAGCTTTAGAGGAGGTAAATTATCCTACTGACCAAGGTATAATACATTGACGGCTACTTCTTTCGCAAGTGTTAAGTTTCAAGGAAGGCATTTTTTGGACAAAATTGTATGTCAAAAAGACATGTGATTGCCAAGACAATCATCATTGCAAGTCTCGTAATTTCACTGAGCTGTTAATGTGTATGCGTGTGTGTTTGTGCGTGTGGATGAAATAACTGGACTGTAAATAATAGTGTTTTCTGTTGCATTAAATTCTCTTCCCACTTCACTTTATTGGCAGGCGAACGACCACAGCGTGTCACTGTTTATCGAAGCAACGTCAAAAAAGATGTCATTAAAATATTTAGCGACCCGAGAATTTTCAGCTACAGTTTTGATGTGGTTGTTATAGATGTAAGGAGCGAACCTGAGGCCGGACAGGGTAAAGAAGTTCTACTCGATGTCATGACGTGTTTCTGGCAAGAATGTTTTACAGCTCTGACGAATGGAAGTAATGAAAAAATACCATACATAAGGCATGACCTCCAAAAGCCTGAATGGAAGGTCATCGCACGAGTCCTTGTTTATGGGTACCAAAAGATGAAGTATTTTCCTCTTCAACGTTCAAATCTATCTGTTGCATTGTGTTTGTTTGGGGAGAAGAGTATAACTCCAGTGTTTCTGCTGAATTCATTTCGGGAATATATCGCGGCAGAGGATAGGGAGGTGTTGGATATCTGGCTAAGAGATGACTTTGACCCCCAAGATCATGATGGTAATGATGATGATGATGTGCTGGAATTTCTCTCCACATTCAAGTGTTTTCGAAAGCCCGACAAAGACAACATCAGATCCATCATTAGCGAGCTTGCCCATCAAGAGCTCATCTAGAAACCGAGATATGTGTTACATTGCTGGGCTCCTATACTGGATGTACAACGATGTGAACACAGCTTCCAAACACTCGAGGGGCTTGATCAACTCTACGAAACTAAACGACCAACAGCGAAGAAGATAAAGAAACTGTTCCGAGGAAAGCCATCAACCGGTGGTGAACGTCAGAGTCTTGACTATTTGAAGAAATTTGTCAATTCCTTGGAGGGGAAGGCGCTTTCTATATGTTTCTACGCTTTTGCACATGGAGTGATGTGATCACCTGTGACTCCACAAGAATTTGTTTCTCTTCATTTGAAGGGCTCCAGAGACACCCTGTGGCTCGTACATGTACTCCCATCCTGGAGCTTCCTACGTTATACGAATCTTTCCCAGCTCTTGCTGAAGAGTTTACAAATATCATGACGGAAAGCCAAGCGTCGTCATTTGACAAGATTTAATAACGTTTCCCCAATCTTTGTACCAAGGGTTCAATATTTTTCTATAGCTGATATGGTAGTAAAACGTTGCATCATGAACCACGCGAATAACGAGTAAAGACTTACTGCGGATAATTCATTGTTTTGAAAGAAAAAAATGTTCAAGGAAAGGGAAGATTGGAAACTTTGTTTGATGTTTTTGTTACAGTTCAAATAAGCTAACAGTATATGCCATCAGTTTCTTGACTGTTACATGTTAACAAATGTTGCACATGGATTGTATGAAATTATTAGAACCTAACAAAAGGAAGTGTTCATCTTCGTCATAGAAGACATCACAAAGTGTCCTTATTGATGGAATTCCACCAAACACACATATTACACCAAATATGAAGTGTATGAAAGTGTCTAAAATATTCAGTTAACAAGAAGTACTCTGAAACAAGTGGGTTCAATTCTGGACATAAGTGAAAAGAGGGTGGGGGGGGGGGGGAGGGTTAACACCCCAGAAGGGTTATGCATGTCCCAGGTCGGCTTCAATTTATCATAGCCATCTATGTGCCACAAATCATTGGGCTCCCTGGTTATGCATTGCCTCCTTTTTAGCCTACGCTTTGCTCTTAACTCAACCTCCTCAGGATCACGGATATTCAATAACTCCCGAACGTTTTCTTTACCAACAACAAGCCGGTGGTCGTTGACTAATCTTGAGTCATTTACCTGTATCCGATGCTACAACCGCTTGCTCTGAGGTGTTCTTCCACAGCTTGAACAACCTGGCGTTTCTTGTTTGTCCGAGTCCTTTGGCTTTTAAAATCCTTTTTAACTGTCTGAGGCTTAAGCTGATGCCATGACTGAATACAGAAAACAACAAGATCTCTGTATACTCCAGCCCAAGATGATAATAGCTTTGAATTAAGTCATGACGTTAAGCGGGTATTCTTGCAATGTAGGAAAGTAGTTTGAAAGTCGGACACCATCGCATGTGGACGTTCTCAAAGCAAATGTCAGAATCAGAAGCACGGCGGAAGTGCTGATCATTTTGGCGTCCCCCTACAGAGAAAAATTTCTCGTTGTAACAACGATATCAATCCGCAGTATTCGCCAAGTCCACAGCAGTAACTAGATTGGGGTCAGCCACCCTCCACAGAAAGTCGGAAAAAAAGCCGGGAGAGAAATCAGGAAAAAACTCGGGGAAAAGAGTCGGGAAAAAATTCGGGAAGAAATTTGAGAAGAAAGTCGAGAAAAAGTCGTGAAAAAAGTAGAGGAAAAAGTCGGGAAAAAATTGTCCAGAAAAAGATCGAGAAAAAAGTCAGGAAAAATGTCGAGAAAAAAGTCGAGAAAAAGTCGGGGAAAAAAAATGGAACGCGTGAAAAATCTAAGGGAATATTCAAGATTAAAAGTGTGATTTAATGGCACTAAGTGGGCTCCGTATTTGTTTACTTATTTCGATGGAGCTCTGCGCATTTCCATCCCTTTTCATACATAGTTTTGGTTGACAAATTGTTTGGTCGATTGTCAAGTTTTATTTTTCAATTAAACTGCAGGTCTATCATTTTCAAATTTGATCTTCCACTTAGTGGTAGGAAAGAACCTCTTTACACTGGGTCTGTTATTCTGTTAATATCTCAGTCCATCGATAGCATGTGGTTAAAATGAAAGGGTTGCCTACCTCCGTAAGGGAATAATAAACAATGTTGTCTCAGTATACAAGCTTTTATTGTTTAATGTGGCAATAACAGCATCTAGTGAACGACCGTCCTCTACCACCCGAAGATTAAATACCTAATTTCCGCGCATATTTAAAATTTCGGTTAAAAGGAGAGGCGCTTATTGGGAGGAGGGCGATAAATCGAAGGGGGCCACTTATGAAGAAACTGAGCTGATTCCGTTGTAGTTGAAGGCTAAAAAGCTATAAATAAAGTGACAATAAAAACAGGTTTGCTTTGTATCTCTACTATTAAAGAAAGTGAGGAAGGAGGGGTCGGCGCTTATTCGAGAAGAGCGCTTGTTTGACATAACGACCTGAGCGGTGGGCACTAATTGGAGGAGGGCGCTTACAGGAGTGTGGGCACTAGTTGGGGAGGGCGCTTATGGGAGCGTGGGCGCTTATTCGAGGAAATATGGTACTTGGTTTCCTTTATTAACGATATTGCAACATCGATTGAGCAACTAGGAAATAATTATATAAACAGTCATTAAGAAATAACTCATGGACTTTCCGATCGTCACAGTAAGAGCAGAAATTACGGAATCTTTCAAAAATATGGTATGCAATAAATATCAGCCAGTTCCTCTGGTTTTTTTTTTTGACAGGCTGTACGGGATGTTTCGTCAATTTGTAATCGGTCTGATACACCGTTCATGTACCGTTGACCAGATCAAAGTATTCTCTTCATTTCAGTATAAATACACTATTTACTTCCCTCACTTAATGGATTTTTTCTCCTTCTCGTTTCATGAAATACATGTCAGACATGATTCATAAAACGGTTTTTCAGTACATCACAATCCAAAAATGAAAAATGGTGGATTTTGGAGATTAAAAAAAATTTCTTACGACCCCCTCCCCCTTTAGTTTGTAAATTGATGCAGCTGACTAAGGCTTTTCTGACAGGAAACCATTCTGAGGATAGAAGCCGGGAAGTAAGGAAGGAAGGACAGGACATCGGAAATCTAAAGATATTATTAAGAGATCTATGAGAAATAGAGGCCTCATGGTCAGTTGGGGGGGTGGGGGGGGGGGAAGGGTGGGTAACTTTCCATGGACTGTCCTCCCATCAATACAGTAATCCTCTTCTATTTGATCAATTGGAGCATGTAAATTCAATTCAGCAGTTGTATAAACAGAGCGGGCCTGAAGCAGCCAGTCACAACAGTGTGGATGAAACCTAATGATCTAGTTGGTTCGTGGTGATGACCTTTACTGACATCACAGCACTCACAGGGGTTTCGTTTTTTCTAATTTAATATAAATTAGTTTAGTTCACCATGGACAGTTGCAAAACTGAGCACTTGAAAACAGGGCTTATCCCTGAAAAATCAGCATTAATGACTCAATATATAAAAATCACGAGATAGAGTTCGTATCTTACAATGTGCACAGTGTACAGCCACAATAGCACTATAACTTAACTGTCACTCGCTTGACAGTTTTGAGAGAACAACCAATACAATACTGAGTTAAATTATTTTACATTTCAGAGTCAAGGAAATACTTGTCAAACACAGTCTCTCTTCTTTTGCCACACTCAACAGAGTTTTAAAAGCTTTGACGACGAAATGTCAACCACATTGCACTATTTACATTAATCTCAAATGGAATGTTTGGAAATTAAGGCAATCAGAAGCCTGTTCTGTATTAACAAATCAGCTAAATTTGTTCACAGCATGGCGAACGCCATGAAAATAAAAATACCGATCCTAAATCACGAAATTTATCTTCACGTTTTTGGCTTTTAGTGAAGACTTCCATCAAACATTGAGGTTTTGCTCTTTGCCACATTAAAATATTTAATATTTTATGGAGATTGGCTGCATTCATGACTTCTCTTTTTTAATCAATAGAAATGAGAGAATTATCTGCACAGTCAGCCTGATGAAGTAATCAATTATCTGGGCAGGAAAAAACCAACCAAAGTAAATTAAAAAAGAAAAATGACAAAAATACCTCAGAGTCTCTAACTCAGTAACATGAAAATTAAGTTTTGAAACTCAAAGCTGTAAATCAAAACTACAACCAACATAAGGGAACATCGTAAAATAGCCTAAAATCAAAATATATCCAAATCAACGATCAATTTCAAGGACAATACACTCTGACTCCAGAGAAACATCCCACATGTTCTCACCGATGTTGTGGAAGGGAGTCCCCATTTTGGTGAGGGTACCAATTTACCTAAGCTAAGTGATTCTAAAATATTTATTTCCTCATTTTTTATCCAACCGTTGATTGTTTGTTTATTTGATCACAACAATGAAGTCTCTCACGATTAGTCAGAAACCTACCAGACCAACCAATCATCTTCAAATGTGCCTTGTCTAGTCAGGTTTCCCAAACTTGTTTTCAAATTTCAATACAGTCAATACAATTTAGGTATTGACTTCTCTTACTGAACAGATCTGAAAGAATTCTCTCAATGGATGGACTGGTCTGGCCAGCCAGTTCTGACCAATGGTAAGTTTCACTAGTTACAGGCGGTCTACTGAGCCAGTCCTGGTCAGTTATGTTTCCAGGCAGGACCGAGGTTCCTCCTCGTCACCTGAGTTGGTAACTGACCCAGGATCTGGTTCTTGCTCTGATCCATGGACGAAGCTCCAACTTTTTCTCCAGTATTCATCTGTTGGCCATTCTTCTTCAGGTTTGACATTCCCTTTGCGATCCTGCATGTGATAAATCACAATCCAACACTCAACATCATTTTGTTAAACAACATACAGCTGAACTCACACGTATTTACCCTGGTTACTTTTTATATGAAGAGAAATTAGGCCAAGAGTATTTTTGACTGAGTTGTTTTAAAACAACTTTTATATTGAGGAACGTTCCTTGTAGCCTTACATCACAAGGCTCACTAAAATTTAGATATCATCCAATTATATCCATGGTGGGGCCCATACTGATTACTTTGTTCGAGAAATAAACTTAAGTGTTCAAGAAATACACATTACATCATATGATGAACAAGAGATCATTCAGTGACTACCTTTCATACAGTCCTACAGGTACATGTACCTGACAAGCCCATGCAGATAATACAAGGTGAGCATACCGCAAAAAGAAACAAACTGAAAAAATGTCTTATTTTTCATCGTAAACAGTCTTTTCAGTTCTGCATTCTTATTACTTAGCGGGCTAACTGACAAAGTGATTTTAAAACACCGAGAAACTAATGCAAGGTGCTCTAGACTCGCGAGTTCTTCCATAAACACAACAAGGAGTAAATACAAACAACAAAGCGACAGCGATGTAAACAGCGAAATGAAAGTGTAACTGCACTCCGCGGTATTTACAAAAGTCGCATAAAAAAAAATTCAAAGCAATTCAAATTCATTTATAAAACTGATTTGAACTGACTGGTGGTGACTCTTCATGAAACAAACTTTATTCTTGTTCTATAAAAGCAATCGAACTATCGCATGCTACTGGTGATCCTTCGACGATGAATAGATCCAAATTCAATCCAGACAATTCACGAATACACAGCTGGCAGAATTACAACTTCTTCAATTTCCTCAGCGGATTAAAACAAGAACCGTAAAACTACGAAGCAATACATAGCAAAAATTCGACAAGAAAACAAATTGTTTGCGAGTCGGCTTGTTGCGACAAAATACAAAAGAATGTTATGAAAGCATGATTAAAACGGAACGAAATTGAGCTGCGAATTACCCTTTATCGTGGAACGACTTTCACCTTACTGAAGGTGTCGTAATAAGACTGAAGCTGCTCTTGACACTTCTCAACATTCAACGGTACTAAGAAATATTTTAAAAAAAACATAATTTAACTTTTATTGAAGGGATGAATATGCACACGATTCCAAGTTTCTAACACCACACGAACTCAAGTACAGTTTCCTTGGCATGAAAGGATTACCGTATTATTCGATTAAACGCCGCCCTCAGATAAACGCCGCATTTAGAGAAGAATTATTAATAAACACCGCCCTCGAATACACTCCGCATTATGATGTGGCGTTTATTCGAATAATTGACTAAAAAAGCACACAGTAATCGAAGCATTGATCGTAGTTGGAAATTTTGAGTGAACCAGACACAAATCCTTTTGAATGGAACAGTTCTGATGTCGAGGAAGCATATCCGACATTAGATCTCTATTCACTATGTATTATGTATTGTTATGTATTGCAGTAGTATTAACATGTAAGTAATGAAATAGAAAACGACATAAAAAATGACTTTTTAGACAAGCACTGGAACATGTTTCTGTTTTTCAAAACTGACACGGTCAGTTACTACACTATTGCTTGCAAGAAAGAGATTGGATTTTAAATGAACGCCGCCCTCGTGTAAATACCGCACTCGAATCGCACAAAATGTAATAGGCGACGCGGCGTTTAATCGAATAAATACGGTAAGATAATTTCCCCGCCGTCGCCTCCCCCCTGCAAAAAACACACCCACACTCTGTTCTTTGATTCTTCACTCTGTCAGTAGCTCTTCTTAAATCGCAGGGAAGATTAAATTGCCAGCGTTTATTTCATCATGGATCTATAATGTTGGGAAATGAAACAGCCAAAGAAACAAAAAAAAACTTCAGGAATTTTTATTTCATAAAATTTTGCGGAGTGCTGTTTCTTGAACAGAATGACAAATTGTTATAAGGAAAGGGAAAGGAAAGAAGTTTAACTATCTTGTGACGAGCGTAGGACAAAGGAAAAATTTTGAGTCCTCACCAGGAGCAGAACCTAACACCTTCAGATTCCGCGCTCGGACATTCTAATATCACAAGCATAATATAAGTTATTAAAACGAAAGCTTAATATGAAATTTCTTTACTTGATAATTACAATACCTGCTACTCTTCTACGTTTGTTTTCTGAAGGATCATCTCTTCTACAACGCTCCTCTCCAGTTGAAATGTCTGCAAAAGAGAAAAGAAATTTATACTGTTATGAGAATTAAAATACACTTCACTACATTTGTGAAATGGGTAACAAGGAGGAGTCGAAATAAGTGCTGATCGAAAACGAAAATCTCATATGAGCCCACTCACGAAATAAAAGAGAGAAGAGAAACGGAGTCGGAGAATTGAAATTCATTGGAACGGAATAAAAGCTAAGATTTAGATCTCAACAAAGTTTTAAACCGGTCAGTAACAGCGAAGATTGGTGGAGAGGTGAACAAAGAAACTTTGGGTTCATCTTACTGCGCACAAGAGTCTGGACACGAAAACAATAATTAGGAGGGCAGGGGTAGGGGGGTGGTTGTGTGTTTAATCAACGATTTGTAATACCTACAACCTAAGACGAAAAACAAAAGATCTATGATTAAGTAAATACAATGAAGACGCAGAAAGTGAGCAATTTCTTATGAACACCCTTTAATCTGTAATTTTAGAACGTTATCCATGACTTCAAAATTTGTATACACTATTAAACTGAATTTGTGCATATCTCAGACTGTAAGTTTTTCTCCACAGCAATGCGATTGAAAAACAAAGAATGCGTATGTTTATCAGTTTTCTGATATATATTTAATTCCACTGTTGGTCTTCATGTTTCATCAGCAGATAACGATATTCTATACCGAGGAAAACAAGCAAGTTACAAGATCTCTTGGAAGACACAACCAAAGCTGTTACAAAAATGTACACATGCATTTTGTACATGTACACTCTTTACAGGGATAACCTCAGGAGTCTCCCTCTCAAGTACTATATATTTGTGTTTGAATCAAGAGTTATTATCATTATTATTTTTATAATTATTATAATTACTGTTATAATTCCATAGAACAATTTTAATAATAGTGTTAGAAGTATGTCATTTTGTAACTCCTTTAAGATTCATAAGTTCAAGATTCCTGTAAGTTAGCACAAGGAGGAGGAAAAATTCATACTTTATGGCTTCAATTTTGTCTGCAGGAAGTTCATTCCACTTTTCATTATTCTTAAAAGAATTGTTAAGGAGAGCAAGGGTGGACTTGATAATTCTCAAACACCAAGTCTTGTCTTGGGTTGCACTCAGAGTGGATTTCCCCAAAAGTTAACAAATAACCTCAAGTTCCATAGTCTTTTTGTAACAATAAATTGAGGTTCGTAACAAACCCTAAGATAACATTTGTTACCAAAAGCTAACACCCAAATATGCATAAAACCAAGATAAGCCACCTGTATTCTTTTTTTTTTTCCAAACTGCCCATTATTCATGTTTCACTCTGCTACCTGACTTAGACTTTGCTTTTGCCATCTGTCTGCTTCTATGTAGTCCAATAAGACCCCCTACATTTTCTTCTCTTTTGCCTTCATCAAATAACTGTGTATGCAAGTACATGTATGGACCTCAAAGGAAACACTTCATTCTAATTCCTGCGATGGTCTATGAATTAGCAAAGTTACAGTTTGCAGAATTTTAACTTTGATCCCAATTAAAACACAGGTTTATGAATAAAGAGATTTTAATGACCTGAATGCAAGTCAATTCATCTACTTGTTAATAATAAAATTTGAGACTAAAAATTTGCAAACTGAAAGATGAATGCAAAAGATACTGAAAGAAGTGCTCTTAGGTCCTACATGTCAGGTCTTACAAGTAGCTTTTGGTGACCTTTGGCTGTCCTGGGTACAGCCACAAATTTAGTCAGACCATGCTGGTCAGGTTTATTTGATCAGCCAATTAAATTAACTCAGTTTTTTCCTGTCACTAAGATAATCACTCCATGCTGTCTTCTTCCCTGTAAATCATTGGAGCAAGATATTAACATTTATTTTGTTTGATAAAACAATAACATCATCAATAGAATCAAGGTATTAATAAAGAATTGCAATTATTTTATCATGTCTGAGAAAACAAAATAGTGTCAATGATATTATGATTGGTACATTACTGGAAGTTATTTATGATTAAGAAAACTAAACAGTTGTTACTCTTTTGGATAGAACTTAACCCTATGGCCCCAAAGAGTGACTAGCATCTAATTTCTCCACATAATATCACTCCCAAATCACTCATTAAGGTCACAAGGATAAAGGAAATGATTACCAGCTAAAGAGGCTCTTGATTATTCAACAAACTCTCTTGGTCTACACCTTAGAGAATGTATAGAGAACAGTATGGAGAATACAGAGACTAATATCAGGGTGTACAGATTGGATTGGGAGATTGGGTGTACAGATTGGGAGCTTACAATGTTATTCACCTCAGTTCACTTCTTAACACATTATATAACTCACCCATACTGCCACAAATTATTCCTGCTTTCAGAAACTCAGATCCTGTTGCCTTTTTTGACAGTTATCTAATGGAAATCAAAATTATATTAACACGTCATTTAGCACACAAAAACATGCCTGACATTCCTCAAGATTTTACGCATACTTCATACAAGACATTCAAGGCTTTCTGGGAATTTCTGGGATTAATATAAACGAGCTTGCCAAATTTGGGTATCGATCACAAATTTTTCCTCAAATGTCTAGGTTCAAATTGTAAAATTACATGTAATCTGTGCTTATATAGTTTCTTTTAACACCAATCATCATCATTTCCAGGTAATTGGTACAAGTTGTACCTTCAAGTAATATTCACAAATTTACATTATCATGACATTTGATACCAAACAAGTCTTAAAAGTTAAAAAAACTAAATCAAACATAAAAAGCAAATGTACTGTAAATGCTTTCTCAAAAATCTTATGTCTGACTAAGAATTATTGACAGGAAATTGGACTGACCTCAGTTAAACATAAGTTTTGCTTTTAGTTCATTTTCAGTATGCTGTAAATCTCTCCTGAGTATCGAGTATTGTGGTGCTGAGCTTTTCAAAAATAAAGTTCACACTGGCTTTGCCCATGTTATTATAAATTATTCTAAAGAGCTGACAGAAGCACAATTAAAGCTACGACTGATGTTCTGTCTATCTTATAAACTGGTACTTTAAACTTTAATTTGCAACTTTATTCAACAAAGTAAAAACTCAAAGCTTATTGCAATGACATTTCAAATTTTGAAGCATAACCACCATAAGCTATTTAACAATGGAAAGTTATGAAATGCACCATTTGGCAAAAACTATTTCATCGCAGCTTGATCTACTTGTAAACCGATGGGGGTGGACAATTTAGAATGGACAATGTCTCTTTAAGTGAACAAAAGTAAAAAGGTTTGCATTAATATTCTGTTTACTTAACAATGAAACCTCACTGTCACGAGTTGATTATTTCACCTCATTCTCAGTCCACTTAATTTACACATGATTTTTGTTCATTAGCTTGGATTGGTGCTAGTTTTTTGTTATTGCCCTGTCAAGCAAAATAGTTTATAACTAGGGCAGTAAGTGAAGCAAATCTTTTTGTATTTTTGATCCATGCACTGAGAGTTTAATCCAATAATGGTAACTTAATTTGGTATGTTTATGACCATTGCTTTGGAAGTCGTGGAAATACAAGTTTGATTGATCAGCTGGAGCGGTACTAAATAGCTCACTTTAAAGGCTGTTCATCATACCTGCTTTGACTAATTCTCTCTATTTCAGCTGTTGCTATCAGAAAATCACTTCACCCTTGATTGACAAGCACAATAACAGACTGATCAGAGAGTTGGAGGGCAATGTTGCTACCCTGTAAAAAGGGGAAAAATTAAGAGTTTTTATTCAACAAGAACAAAAAAAAAAAACAATTTGAAGATTACATTTTTATCTTTTTCGATGCACTGATTTACCTTTGAAATTCCAAGCAAGTCTTATTACCATTAAAAGTCTGAAAGAGCACAGCAATTAGAGCTTTTCTGCGAGCGTGTTCTAGAGTGTGCTCAACAAAGTAGCTAGCGATCATTCCCATCACTCACTGGGATCTTTTCCGAGGGATCTGGGAAGAGGTGATGTTTTGCGTGACTTATGTGACTGGCAAAACAATTTCGCAAGTCACGCGACCCACTTGTCGGGGGGAAAAACGATCCTCCGCGGATTTATACCCCCCCCCCCAAAAAAAAAAATGGTAACAATTAAAAAATATGATACAAACGCCGCTTAAAAGGAAAGTTTGATGGGGGGGGGGGGGTTCATATTCGCTGGCAGATTTGGACGGGGGGGGGGGGGTAGGAGGTCCAAAATCCGCTGTAACACCGGTACGGATCATGAGGCCAACGACATTGAATAGTAAAATCTCCTCGATTTCGACGACTTCGCGTCCATTGTGGTCATACGGCTACACCCTTTGGAAAGTGGTGTATAGAAATATCCGGTATATGTGTATTAATCTTGTAACTAACATCATTTGGGGCGCTGGCCACACAATACGTTCGTCCTTTCCTCTTGATTTCTCCTCTCTCCACCATACTTGCCGACGTGTCTTCACAGTTTTCTACGTTACCGCAATGTAACATGATCGTTTTGGCCGCGCGCTTAATGGGGACACTTTTTAGTCGCCAAATCGCACTTTCAATGCGCAAAAAAATGGTCAAGGAGAATTTGCTGGGCGCTAAGGTCGAATGTTTCTAATTTTTAAAAAAGCTATCAACCAGAAAATGCATTGGCACTTTAAAAGACTTAATATATGAGTATCAGGAGATAAAGTCAGTATCTCACAATGTGTACCGTGTACATGCAGCCACAATAGCACATGTCACCTAAGGAACAATTCCAGTTTCTCAAATAAGAAAGATATAATATAACCATGACTTAACTGTCACTCACTTGACAATTTTGAGAGTACAACCAATACAGTACTATGTTAAATTATTTTACATTTCAGAGTTATGGAAATACTTGTCAAACACAGTTTCCCTTCTTCCACCAAACTCAACTGACTCTTGAAAGCTCTGACGACTGTCAACCACAATGCACTATTTACGTTAATATCAAATGGAATATTTAGAAATTTAGCCAGGCAGAAGCCTGTGACAAATTAACAAACAGCTAAATTCATTCACAGTGTATGTTGAATGCCATGAAAATAAGAAAAATATTGATCCTAAATCATGAAATTGATATTCACATTGTTTTTTTGCTTTTAGTGAAGACTTCAATGTATAGTTGAAGTTTTGCTCTTGGCCACATTAAAATATCTATGATTTTATGAAGAATTGTTGCATTGGGGACTTCTTACATTTGTATCAAAAGAAATGACAATCACCCTCATGAATTAATTGATTGCCTAGGCAGCTAATAACCAAGCCTAATAAACTAAAAAAATGAAAAAAATACCTGTCTCTAACTCAACAACATGAAAACCAAATTTTGAAACTCAATGCTGCAAGTCAAAACTACAATCAACAATATTGGACATCGAAAAATAACCTTAAATCAAAATATAACCAAATCCAACAATCAATTTCAAGGACAAGACACTCTGACTCCAAAGACAACTCCCAAATGTTCTCAATAATGTTGTGGAAGGGAGTTCCCATGTTAGTGAAGGTATCAATTTACCTTAGCTAAGTGATTCTAAAAATATATTTGCTAATCTTTTATCCAACCATTGATTGTTTGTACGTTTGATCACTACACTGAAGTCTCTTACCATTGGTCTGAAACCTACCAGACCAACCTATCATCTTGAAATGTGCTTTGTTTAATCAGGTTTCCCAAACTTGTTTTCAAATTTTGTTAAAAAAAAAAATGGATACAACTTAGGTACTGACTTCTCTAACTGAACAGATCTGAAGGAATTCTATCAATGGATGGACTGCTCTGGTCAATGGTAAGTTTCCTTAGTTTCAGGCAGTCTACTGAGCCAGTCCTGATCAGTTACGTTTCCAGGCAGGACTCAGGCTCTTCCTTGAGTCAGTACCTGGAGTCGGCTCCTCCTCATCACCTGAGTCAGTAACTGACCCAGGATCTGACTCTTCTTCTGATTCGCTCCAATAACCACTCCAGAACTCATCTGTTGGCCATTCTTCTTCAGGTTTGACATTCCCTTTGTGATCCTGTGATAAATCACAAACCAACAATCAACATTATCTTGTCAAACAACATACACCTGTACTCCAACTTGTTTACCCTGGTTACTTTTTATATGAAGAGAAATTATGCCATGAGTATGTTTGACTGAGTCAATTTAAAACAACTTTTATATTAAGGAATGTTCCTTGTAAGCAAACATCACAAGGCTCACCAAAATTTAGATATATTCCAATTACATCCATGGTGGGGCCCATACTGATTATGTTATTAGAGAAATAAGCTGAAGTGTTCAAAAAATATACATAACATCAAAGTGACCACCTCTCCTAGAGTCTTATAGGTACTTGACCTGACAAGCCCATGCAGAGAATACAACTACAGGTAACCTTTTAAGGAAAAGGCTCAGTAGTTCATGTGAGAATGAGGAACTGCTGATGTCTCCTCTTTAAAGGTTATGAATATTTACTTAGTGGCTCATCCACAGCTAGTACTCATTTTCAAACTTAGGAAACTGCAAAAGTGGACATTATTTGTGAGCATTTCAAATGCTGCAATATTTTTGTAGTTCAGCAGCTCATCAGCTTAGCAGTCTGCTTAGTAAGTTAATATAAAAAATGTAAAGACATATCACCAGTTAGGGCAAGTTTGATTCAGACAGATGTAACCTTCATTATTATTTTTACACAGGCTGATTAACAAGAAATTCTCTGGATAGAGTAGGATAAAAACATGTTTGACAAAGTAACTGCAAACCATTGACATTAGAGAATCTCTGCCTGCAAATTTGAACCAGTATCTCTCTTACAGTGGTAGCATTCTTTCTCTACTACTTTTCAAGTGGAAGCCCTTGGTCATTTCTTTTCTAATCGACAATGTTCCTGGTAACTTTTGGTTAGGACCAGAGGGAGAAAAGGAAAATCTGCGTGAAAGGAAGTTTTTAGGGAAAAAATTCTGTGGTGCCTTTACAGCATTTTTTCAAAACCTAATTGATATAGTAAACCACTGAGTTAATCAATCAAATAAAATTTACAGATTTATGCTAACCTTCCTTCTACAAAACTCCCAAATACTATTCCAGAAGCTCTTTCTAAGGGAATACTCAGGTATTAAAATTTTTTTCTCAGAGCGTCCAGAAACACACCACATTTCCTTTGAAGTTTAGCTTTTCCTCCATCAGAGAGAAGCTTGAATCAGCTTTAAAGTATGACATTGTTTAACAACTCCTAAGAGCTGTAAATAAAACAAAGTGAAAAAACTAGGGTCTCAAATCATTTCTTACAGACAGATGCTCAGTTCATGGTAAGTACAAGCAATTGTTTACTCCCTCCATTCTGTTGCCCTTACGGAAATCAAGACCATTTTCCGAAGGAAAAGAATAGCTAAACGAATAAACAAAAGTCGAAAACCAGTCCTAGCAGATTTCCTAAATTTTAAGACAAGTTTAGAAAGTAGCTCCTTGATCTCTTCCAAACACTGACATTAACTTTCTGTCATTAATATCTGAAAACACGCGGCCGTCCTCACATTCAAGCGCACAGAGTGGTAACGCATTTACTTTCGTTTTACTTTATTTTCTCCTTTTTTCTCTGGTCCTAATTATAAAAGGAATAGATTTATCGAGGTTAATGGGATGAATTAGGAATGAAGTGTATCCTGTTTCTGTGTTTCCACTGTAGACACACAAAATAATATTGTTTAAGACACTCAAAAACAGACTACACCCTTCAGAATTCACCCTTCTTCAAACGTAAACAAAGATACTTAAATGGGCTCTCATCTTCACTGAAAAAAAATGACTTGCTTTGCTTCCAAGTTTAACAGATTAAATGGTAGCGACAAAGAGTGACTGTATAACGTTCTCATGCATGTAAGCCTTTTCAGTAATTCGGAATGTAAAACTTTGTAATTGAAATCGTTAAAATCATTAAAAAGCCACAATATTTGCTTCGCTTTGGATTTCCTCTCTTACGAACCGTTTGCGAGTCGGCTTGTTGCGACAAAATACAAAAGAATGTTATGAAAGCATGATTAAAACGGAACGAAATTGAGCTGCGAATTATGGACTGGACTTTTTCATTCTTTTTTTTTGGGACTGGGGATTCTTAAGGAATCCATTTAGAAGATGCTCCATTTCAGTTCAACTTTGACTGTTGCCCGCACACGTGTTTTTCGGAAATGCGCAAGTGTCTCTTGTGGCTTGGAGATAGCTACATCGCAATTGCTCCGCGAACCAAGGGCGTAAAAATTCTTAAAACAACACCACAGGAAATTGAACAGAATCTATAAGAACTATGACTAAATTTATGCAAACTAAGATCACAAAACTTACGTGGTATTGTGTTTCCAACCGGAAGATCTTACTCTGACGTACAGCTGCACTCAATTCATTCACTTGCTGCTTTGTCATTTTAACATCAAAAAGGCACAGAATCTCCAGGTGAGGAACACAGCTGAGATGTTGAGTAAGAACACTTACTCCTTCACCAAGAGGGTTTTGTGACAAGTTGAGGTGTTCCAGGCTAGGAGACTGGTGCAGAGATCTGGCGACGACTGCGGCAGGTTTGGCTGTTAAATTGATATACACAAGTGTTAATGTGTGAAGTCTGTCAGTGAAGATGATACGAGACACCAGGGTCTCTGTCAACTGAGCATCAATGACTTCAAAGGATTTCCCAGAAATATATATATGACGCAGAGCAGTGAAAAGTGGTAAGAAATCAGCCAGCATCTTTATCTCTTGCCTTTCTATGCCCTCAATATCAATCCGCTTCACAAAGGAAAGGCTCTGAGGAGTCGGACCAGTGATGCTATCAGTGTTCTGAGTCAAACTCGAAGCTGTTTCGCTGTCGTGTTCATTCAACGGATCAACAAGACGCGTCACCTGAGTAGACTCTGCTGTTGGCGAAATGAGCTCTCGCAGCATTTCAGTCGGAAAAGTGCTACCATATTTTACTACGTGTATTTGATAAACATAAACGACGATTTTTCTCTCTCTCTTCAAAAAGAACTCGCCCACAGAACGACGCGGGAACTTCTTCAGTAAATCTGCGGCTTTCTTTTCGCCCGAACAGCTCAAAAATACTGCATTTGTGTCCTCCGCTACAGTGATCAAGTCTCGATAGCTTTTCTCTGAAGAATTTTCGTAGAGAGGAAAAAAGATAAAGTCGGGTATCATGCCAGATTTCAGCAAATGTTCATTTGCAGTAATGTTCACCGTGTTAGAATCAAGATACAAAACACCTCCGGTGCAAGAGGGAAATACTGAGCAGAGATCCCGCCTCTTCTCGGCCGAACAACAAAAGTAGCTATGCGAGATAAGCTCAAGATAAAGTTTTTCATTTGAAGGCAGTTCTTCATTTAAAGACAGTTCGTCATCCTCCAGAAGCAGCTCAATGAAATCACATTCCCACACAGATTCCTTTCTTCCAACAGACCCCACATGATGGAAAACTGCGCACGCGGCTTCTGTTGACAGCTCACAGGCAAATTTCAGAACTTCATCCATCTTATCGATCTTTTCAAATGATTCAACTTTGGAAAGGCTAGGCGTACTTTCTCCTTTATTCGACAACACTTCCTCCTTAATGTGCCAGGCTGCAAGGAACTCCTGTACGGATTTATGAATGAAATAGGCCCCTTTCTCAGGATTGAGACTCGTAAGATTGACAATCTGGAAAAGCCCAACTTCACTTAATTTTTGAAAACTTCTTGAAATATTGCCGGGGAGTTCGCTGCAGCGTACGTAAAGACGGTCTTGCAGAAGTGCTTCAAAGGCAACCTTTCCAAGATTACTAAGGTCTTCTCTGGCTTCTGTTGAGGTCACTTTCTGAAATGGCATAGGCTGTTGACTTTCACCTTTGTGATCTAGCATGGTTTGAATGAATTGTGTGAATATGTCGGCCCGTGATTTTGGCAGTCCTTCGTGATGTTTCTCTTTCCACAAAATACACAGCATCAGTAAGAGGAGAGGTATTTCTGCCATGTCAAGGAGATCTTTTTCTTCCAGGTAGGACATGAACTCGTCAAGATCATCTCCACCTGCCAAAAATTTTCTCGCAAAGGTTTCTTTTCGTTCCCAGCTTTTGAAACCTTGAATTTCTAACTGAACGTGGCTGGGGCCTCTTAACTCGTCACATTTAAGTTGACGCGTGGTGACAATAACGTGACAATCTCTTAGTTGCTCACCCTTCCAAATTTCAAGGATGGGTGAGTGTTCTTTTGCACAGCTGTACTCATCGTAGCCATCCAAAATAAGAAGCACTTTATCTTGATTGTTAGTTATGTAATCATAGAGACTATCAACTGAGATCGGACCATCACTGGCCAGTAATTTAGACGCATGCAAAACATCACGGATGTTTCCTGCGTCACACACATCTCGCAACTTAATCAAAATCAAAACATAAAAGTTCTTTAGGATTTCTTTTAAGGCTTTCGACCAGTCATACGCAGCCTTCTTACAAAACGTACTCTTGCCAATTCCTGGCCGACCATAAACAAGCATTCGTGTTGGTTTTCCCTTGAACATGTCGGTGTAGTCTTCAAGTTCCTCTTGTGTCACTCCGCTGGGCTTCCTGTGATCTCTCACCCAACTCAAAGGTGTGTAGATCTCATCAATCTGAATGGAAGAGCTTTCGTCCCATGGAACGATTTTCACCTTACTGAAGGTGTCATAATAAGATTTTAGCTTCTCTTGGCACTTCTCAACATTCAACGGTTCTGAAAAATAGAGAAAAGAAACATGAACTTTTATTGCTGGAATGAGTGAGCATACGATGCCAAGTTTCCAAAACCACACGAACTCTAGCCTGCAGAACAGACGCAATTTTTGGCGCTTTCCAGTCCAACGGAATAAGGGGTGGGACGAGTGCGAAGTCCGAGTTAGTGCGTGGGGAGAAGCTCCAAAACAATATCTTATTTTCATTTTATGATTGATCATTAATTTTCGGGATTGAAGCAGCTGAAGTAAATCAGGACAAGAATAGTAAATTGTTATAATAAAAGAATTAGGAAATATCTTTTATCGTCTTGCCACGAGCGTTCGACAAAAAAAAATCGAGTCCTTCCCAGGAATAGAACCTCAGACCTTTAGATTCCGCGCTTAGACACTTCATTGCTATAAGTATAAGTTATTAAAACGAAAGCTTACTATGAAATTTCTTCACTTGATAATTACAATACCTGCAAGCCTTCCACGTTTATTTTTTGAAGGATCATCACTTTTACAACTCTCCTTTTCTGTTGAAATGTCTGCAAAGGGAAAGGAAAGTCAAACTGTAATAAGCATTAAAATACACCTTACTAAATTTGTGAAATGGGTAACAAGCACAAGTCGAAATAAGTGCTGATTGAAGATGAAAATCTCATGTGAGCCTGATCACAGTTTAAAGGAGAGAAAAGAAAATTGATGGACATCAAGAATTGAAATTCACTGGAACGGAATAAAAGCTAAGATTTAGATCTCAACAAAGTTTTAAACCGGTCAGTAATAGTGAGGTATTTTGTAGAAAGGTAAACAAAGAAAATTTGGGTTCATCTTACTGCGCACAAGAGTCTGGACACGAAAACAATAATTAGGAGGGCAGGGGGAGGGGGTAGTTGATAAACGTGTTTAATCAGCGATTTGTAATACCTACAATCTAGGACAAAGAAAATAGATTTAAGACTTATTAAATACAATGAAGATGCAGAAGTGAGTAATTTCTTATAAACCCTTTCTAATCTGGATTTTTAGAGCGTTATCCATGACTTCAAAATTGGAATTAAAGCTACCAAAGTGAATTTCTTCCTAAGACTTTTTGAAGGTTCTTTTTCAAAGCAATGCGATTGAAAAACAAAGAATGCGTATATTTTCCAGTTTTCTGATATGTATTTAATTCCACTGTTGGTCTTCATGTTCTCATCAGCTGATAACGATATTCTAAACAAATACAAAAGATACAGTGGCCAAAAAGCCTGGTGTCTGAGAATTTACGCACTGTACTTGTATGTAATCGTATTTTTTATTGAATTGCAAGATAAGTGATGTCTTACCAGTAATAAATGGTGCGCAAGTTGGCTATACTCTAAAGTATTGCAGGTCGAAAGTCCTGTAGGGATATTGCATAGAGCGTCGAAATGAAAGCAAAAGCAAACAGCTCGATAAATGTTCTCTTCCCTACATTAAAGAAACATTACTCTTTGGGTCTTCCATTAGTGTGCATGGAGACTAAACTTCTTCCCAACTCGAATTTGCCCCAACGAAACATAAAGTATTGACCAGGTTCATTCAATAATTTTGAAATATACAACGTTCATTATTTTCTCAACAATTTCCTTTGATGATAGCGCACTCAACGAAGGGATCATGTGCTACAGAGACAACTCATGGCACTTTAACAAACAAGGTTTCATGTATAAAACAACAAATTTGCTCCAACATAACTTGCAAGTTCATAAGGGTTAGCATCCATTTCTAACAGGAGTTTATTATAGGATTACTCTTACTAGTATTAAGAAATGTGAATCAAATGTTCAGTTAGCAATGATAATTTGGTTTCATTAACTGAGTTGATAACGTAAATTGGCCTCTGTAGAGAGATTCTGAAGCTGATGTTTCGAGCGTTAGACCTTCGTTGGACCGATTAGGAAATGTGGGTTGGGTGTGGTTTATAAAATGGGGGTTGGGCTGGGGGGGAGGGAAGGGGGGTTAAGGCAGGAGTTTCTAGGTTTATTGTAAAGGGGTCGGTGGTCTTCTTCCCAGAGGGAAAATGCAATCAAACATTCAACGGTTCCAAGAAATATTTAAGAAAAAAAAAATAGGTATTAACTTTTATCGAAAGAATTAATATGCACACGATGCCAAATTTGTAAAACCACACAAACTCAAGTTAAGTTTCCTTGGCATGGAAGGATTAAGGTAATTAACCCCTGCCTCCGCGCTCTCTCTCCTCCCCCCTGCAAAAAACAAACCCACACTCTGCTCATCAAGTTTTACCTTTCTTGGTAGCTCTTCTTAAATTGCAGGGAAAATTAAATTTCCAGCATTGATTTCATCATGAATCAATAATGTTTGGAAACGAAGCAGCCAAAGTAACAACAAAAAACTTCATGAATTTTAATTTCATAAAATTTTGCGGAGTACTGTTTCTTGAACAAGAATGACAAATTGGTAGAAGAAAAGGAAAGAAAAGAAGTTTGACTGTCCTGTCACGAGCGTGAGACAAAGGAATAATTTTGAGTCCTCACCAGGAATAGAACCTAACACCTCCAGATTCCGCGCTCGGACACTCCACCACTTTAAGTATAGTATAAGTTATTAAAACGAAAGCTTACTATGAAATTTCTTCATTTGATAATTATAATACCTGCTAGCCTTCTACGTTTATTTTCTGAAGGATCATCACTTTTACAACTCTCCTCTTCAGCTGAAATGTCTGCAAAAGGGAAAGGAAAGTCAAACTGTAATGAGCATTAAAACGTGCCTTACTAAATTTGTGAAATGGGTAACAAGCAGGAGTCGAAATAAGTGCTGATTGAAGATCAAAATCTCGTCTCTAAAAGAGAGAAGAGAAAATTGATGGACTTCAAGAATTGAAATTCATTAGAACGGAATAAAAGCTAATATTTAGATCTCAACAAAGTTTTAACCCGCTCAGTAGCAGTTAGGTATTTCGTAGAAAGGTAAACAAAGAAAATTTGGGTTCATCTTACTGCGCACAAGATAAAGTCTTAATCAGCGGACAATCAAGGAAAACAATAATTTAAGGAATGCAGAAGTGAGTAATTGCTTATAAACCCTCTCTAATCTGGAATTTTAGAACCCTATCCACTACTACAAAATCCATTATCCATCCACTACGAATACAAAATTGGAATTAAAGTTACCAAAGTGAATTTGCTCATATCTCAGACTTTTTGAAAGTTCTTTTTCACAGCAATGCCATTGAAAGACAAAGAATGCATATGTTTTGCAGTTTTCTGATATATATTTAACTCCGCTGTTGCTCTCCATGTTCTCATCAGCAGATAACGATACTCTCTACAAAGGACAACAAGCAAGCGTATCAAGAAATGGTCTATTGTTCTGGCTCAACTTTTCCATTAAGCATCAAACAAAAGTCCTTCTATAATTGTTAGTCCTGAGGGACTTTGGCCGAAGGGAGGCGAAAAGCTCGTAACTGATCGAGAAAATAATCGGAGTGACAATTTTTCTGCATTGGGGGAGTGGGTAGTGTAAATATGCACCAGTGAGATCAATCTCCATCGGCGTACCCAAGGGTATACTTGACCCTCGATGAGCGCATTGAGCCAAAGGTTCGTAAGTTTAAAAACAATTAAAGTTATCCGTATTGCAGTGACTCATTTAAACCACCTCTCTCTATATGCAAGTCAAGTCGCCTTGTAAAAAGTCAACGCACAAAAATATTTTTTGGTCTTACTACTGATGATAAATGCAATCGAAAGTGACTGTTTTCTGTAGAGAGCCTCGAGGCATTAAAGACCTTGTTTCTGGCGCACAGCTGTTTTCAAACAAGGCGCTCAATTTTTTAGAACCAACATGTTTACTTAACTGAGGCGTTGAGAACAATTTTCAAATAGGAGGGGTGGGGGTTTTTAGCTACGTCAAATTTGAATTTAAGGGCCTATCGGCCAGAGTGTTTTATTATCAGGAATTGTGGGACAGGGGGTTAAAATCTTCTAATAATCCTTGAATACCCCTGTCTAAGTATAAAGAGGGTCGTAAAGGGGTGTTGGCATGGCTTTTACGGCTAACGGTTAATATCTTTTCATTGTTGTCACCATAAATTTTTCTGACGGTTAACTCTTTTACGACTAGCGGTTACGATTTGTCAATTTATACGCTGAACGGCTAATTTTTTGGCCGTTTTACGGCTAACGGTTAACTTTACAAAGACCTTCTATTAAACACTGTTACTGCCAATTTGCGATTAGGAAAAATGAAAACCGTGATCAAAAGTATCTAACAAAATCACTGAGAATAGGAACTAATCGATTATCAAATACGATTGAGAAAAAGATCAAAATTTTTCCGTTAAGTGATTAAATATGTACGAGACGTGAACTATAATGATTCTCGTTTCACAAAATGTCAATATTAATCAAAAATATAGCTATAATCTTGCAGAAGATTGTGAGAGTTAAACTGCTCAGTCTTCATGCGACTGCCGAAAATTCAATACGGAAATCTAATACTAAGGGAGAATTAATGAGAGGGAGATATGGAGAGCGAATCAGCATTTACTCAGAAGATTCAAGTGTTCCAACTCAAGAGAATGAATTTCGGTTTTGTACGTCTCACTTTTATAACCAAGGATGGAATTGAACATGAAAAAATAACTTATTATTTTGTAACAGGGAACGTCAGGCTTCTGTGTCCATCCCTCCGGAAAGATGGATTTTCATAACAAGATTCATACCAGTAGAGCCTAAGTTTCTTTCTTTAATCGGTAAGCTATCTGTGCGCGATAATCAACTTTTCATGAACTGATATGGAAAACCAATTGGCAGTTTACTCCGCAGTGAATCTATTTCGGTTTTGCGCGCTCACCTCTATAACTTCAGATGGATTTGAGCATGCAAAAATGAAATATTTATTCTCTTTTAACAAGGAACCTCAGGCTTCACGGTCCATCCCTGTGGAACTGTTTGATTTTCATCACAAGATAAATCACCCTCTCACTGAAGCTTCTTTTTATCAACGGTAAGCTATCTGTGCGGGATAAACGACTAATTGTCTTCGTGCACTTTTCATTTTCTAACGGGTGTGATTTGCACGATCAAAGACACAACTATTAACAGTTATAAAACAATTGAGATAGTTCGATCGCACTCATAGGTCAACTAGTCAGTTTAGACCAGAGTCTGTAGAAACAGCTAGTTGTGACGCACACTTTTAATGTTTGCCAGCGAAATTTGAAAACATTTCAAACTCAAAGTTTTCCCAATACTTGCAATTAATTTCAAGTAGAAATAACAAATACTGGAATTGGAGGAAAATTTGCCAATTTTTATCTAGGGTTTGGCTACCTCCCATTCTACTGTCTTTTCGCTGAGCCGCATGCTTGGCACTGCAGCTTTTAATACACCTTGATCGCGCAACTAAGCACAGCCCTTACGAACGGCAGCCCTTCCGCCTTTTTGATATTGAGATATGCACATATTGATTTGATGCTTCGCTGGTAGCATTTTGAGACAGAAAACCATAGTTTTCCGAAACAATGCAGAACAAAACAAGCTGACTGCGTTGAATCACAATAGCAAAAACTCTCTTAAGACACACGCTTTAGCACGCCCTTTTTTTTGGCGCAGAACGCGAAAAACGTGCGAAGGTTTTGCGTGTGCGTTGGCCATCTACCTCTGAGCTAGTGTAAGTTATTGAATAACGGCTGAGAGCACTTCACAGCATTCTTTGATATTCTTAAACTAGAGAAGAGAATGAGGTAAAAACACCTTTGAAATAATTTGCATTGACCAGTATCATTTTTCATAATTGCTGACAGAAGCATTCTTGGTTATTAATAACATTAATTTCTATTTCAAAAGATGACTAAAATCACATTCAGGTTCTTTTTTCATTTCTCCTTTCTTTTCTTAACAGCTTCAGTCCTACAGCTTTTCTGGCCAATTTATGCACCTATGAATTCTTTCACTTCTTCAACATCAATACATCAAAACAACAAGTCAGTGATTTGCCATGTTGGTTTCCTTTTTATTGGAACATGTGAGGGGGAACTGAAACCAAACTGGAGCCCATGCTAGGCTTCAATGAGTCAACAAAAACAACTGAAAGTGATAAACCCCACACCTTTTCGTTCATTTCAACATGGTTTGATACCAGTTAAAATCAACTAAATCAACTTAAAAGTGGTTTTTTATTTCCCAATAACAAAGGGAAAAACTCAACCAACATGAAGAACCATGTTTCAATTGCATTAACTTGAAAAATAAGTTCAAACTGAGCATCCTGTTCACCTGTCCTTCCCCTTGATTCTACTAGTTCTCTTCCATGACCAGTAGTGGGTACTTCAGTGAGGGGTGAAGTACCTTAAGGTAAAAAATGCAGAGAGATTAGTGTTCACAGCCTCTCTTCAAATGTTTTGTTCCCATAAGTGGAACTGTGTACAATTATATTAATTTATTGATGCCACATTATTGCACTGAGATAATTCTTTGAACATTTATCACATTAATGTTATAACTGTTCGAACAACAACTTCCCATAATAACTTAATAAAATATTTTTATCACTTTTTCCCCATGCTCTGTTGCCAGCATGCCAGTCTGCTTATTCTGCTCTTCAGGTTTCAAGTCATCCACCTCAACCTTAATTTTCAATTCACTATCTGTCAAATTGTAACAGTCAAATTTAATCCTACTATAGCAAGGTTCTTTTACCTGTTACCTATATATCACCATTGAAATGTGAGAACATGATATCGAGGCTACACTAATCAAACAGAGAGCTTGTTAGCAATGAATAGATTACCACATACAGTATATCTGTTGAGCACAGTTCAGTTTCAATTTCTTTTGCATCTTTATCTTATTCCATAGTAGAATCAAAATTCTGATTAATCTAAACGATTACAGTTTCAAACATGGAAATATCTCAACAGCTTTAGCTAGGGTTAGGATCATTTTTCTCTTGTATAACAAAGCCTATTGTTAACAATGTTGAGCCACTTTTCTTGATACGAGTTACAAGATCTCTTGGAAGACACAACCAAAGCTGTTACAAAAATGAACACGTACCTCCATAATGAGGCCAGTCTCCAAACACACAAGAGTTACTCAACATAATTGAGTAATTTCTTATTAACCCCCTCTAATCTTGAATTTTAGAATGTTATTTATGACTTCAAAATTGAAATTAAAGCTACCAAAGTGAATTTGTTCATATCTCACACTTTTTAAAAGTTCTCTTTTAAGGCAATGCAATTGAAAAACAAAGAATGTGTATGTTTTTCAGTTTTTTGATACATATTTAATTCCACTGTTGGTCTCCATTTTCTCATCAGCAGATAACAATATTCTATACCGAGGAAAACAAGCAAGCTACAAAATCTCTTGGAAGACACAATCAAAGCTGTTACAAAAATGTACACGTACCTCCGTAATGAGGCCAGTCTCCAAACACAAAAGAGTTACTCAACATGTTGGATACAACAGAAGCTGCCATAACACAAGCAAAAGTCTTCCATGAATTGTTTTTAGTTGCACTGCCAGGTACAAAACCACAAACACCTTTAACAACAAGCCACTCCATCTTCATGTCATGAGCTGCTGCAAAAAGACCTGAGGTAGAAAAATGAAAAAAATAAGCAATAACTATTGGAATGGATTTAAACAGTGATATTATGATTAATTGGAGCAAAAAAGGCTCTGTTTTTCTGCAGATCATTCGTTTTGTTTGTTCTTTGTTATTGGAATAATTTAAGAGATGTTGTGTTTTTCTGCTGGTATTATGAATGAATGAGTAGGGCAGGGTACCTTTTTAGTCAGAAGCAGTGTAGCAAAGAATAAGGATTTGGAATTCAGGAAAGAGTTTTGCTGAACACAAAGTATGGAGTACCTCACCTCCAACAAGAACCTGGTTAATAGTGTAGCAATCAGAAGCTTTGAATGGTTGAGAGGTGAGGCTTGAAAATATGACAAGTTGGAGGGTACAGTGCAATAAAGATTACCATTATGCACCTGTGCTGACCACTCCCCTACAAAAAGTTGTTAAGTACCTCCCCTCCTCCCGGCTTAATAGTTTAGCAAACGGATCTTCCTGTAGTTCAGAGGTAAAGCTTACGAACATCAAAGTTGAGGGTATACTGTAAAAATCATTATCATTGTACGCTTATGGTGACCAATCCCCATACAAAAAAATTGCTAACTTTCTTTCCTCCTTCAGAAACTTAGCCTTACAAAGTAGCGACCAGAAGCTTGATCCTCTCTAACCCTGTAGCTCAGAGGTAAAGCTTGAGAACATCAATTTGGGGGTACAGTGTAATACACACTATGTTTGAAAACCTCTGGGACTACTCATAATTTATTTCTTGCTCGCAGTACACCTTTGTATATGACTGGGTACAATCATATTTCTAGTAATTACTTGGTTACTGGGTCACTTGGATGAGATCAGAAAGTTATATTATGAAGATATGAATGATGATTCCATCTTAATTCACTAGTGCCAATCAGTACATACCCACAAAGCAGACACATGAAAAAGAGGAAAAGGAGTTTACCTTCAGTTACATGTAATTGAACATTTTATGTAATTGGGTTTGGTCAGCTTTGTATGAGTGATCCTGGTAACATTATATTGCACTTGTTATGGATAGTGACTGTTAAAACAAGTTTCTAGAAATTTCTAGAATGCCTGGTCATACTGAAATGCATATACCATTGAACTTTCTAGAACATTTTATTAGATCACATTGTTATGATGTATTACTACAGAAACAGTTGTGTTGTAAGTTTCCAAAATGTTCTGGAATACTTTCTAAATGTAAATAAGGACTCAGTCATGTAGTAGTGGTTGTTGCTGTTGTCAGGAGTGATCAGACATCTAGAAAGCTATATATAGAAAGAGAGCTTCTGTGGAAGATTGTTCACTTCAAGGAAGTTTGGAAACACATGTGAGATTGTGTCAGTGGTGAGCTAACTCATAGTCTGTAATGGGCCTAAGTAAGTTTATCAAGGATCACTACTGTGCTGTCTTTAAGAGTCACTCTTTACCAATGTTTCATGCTGTTTAATAAAGTTGTCGAGTTTATAGGAGCATTGTGTTCTTTTTATCCTTTAAATTATACCGTAACACACTGAACACAATGAATACATGTAATCCTTGTTATGGCAAAACCATTTCCTGCACAATGATCACAGATGCCAAGCAAAAGTAACCCTGAGAGTAATTCTCACCTTTTCCTTCCATTTCAACTGCAATTGCCCCAGGGTGTAATTGACACTGCTGTTCAGCACCAATCAGATCAGAGCAACTCAAAATCTCTCCATCCCAATGTACTTTGACCTTTTGCGCTTCTGGGTTTTGTAATGGTGCCTTCCATCCATCAGCTGCACTTTTGACAAGGTTACCAACATCCCTACTCACTGGGGTTTTGTGATGATCTATTGTAAGCTGTGAGGATATCACCACATCTCCTAGCTGGGCTTTGTCAGGATTCAAACTGTAGCAGAAACCAACCAAAAAGGTAGCCTTAGGTCTCAGGAGTGTGATGGCATTCTTAGCAGAAGTTTGAGAACCTCCAGGATCCAAGGATTCTTTAGAACACTTCACTAAAGCAACTTTCAGTGACTCCTCTTCATCGTCACCCATCTTTCCAAAGTACACATATCCAATGGATTTCTCATAGCTTCTAAAGGAATCTCGCAAGTAATGATGACAAGCCAAGAACTCGCAATCCCCCGCAGTCAAGAGCAGAATGTCAACTGGAGAATAGTCCGTGTCCCAATGTTTCACCTTCTTTGGCAAATCTCCAAGCTCCTTCAGTGTAATACTCAGAGGTGGAGGGTCATCATTGCAAACCACTGACCTGCTGCACTTGTCATTACTAGGTCCTGCCATCATAACAAACTGGATCTGTGTTCAAAGTTTTCCTGAAGTGAACAAACGAAATCAGAAACCAATTAAAAATGATATCAATATAAATTATTTGTAAACACATTTGCCTATAAGCAGGTCACATATCTGAAAGGTGATCAAAGTGTGGCAGTGGGAAATGCTGATATACAGTAAGACTACCAAGCCTAAACCACACCCGGTATCTGGCATTGAATGTAAGAGCTGGCTAAAGATGCTTGGTGTTATATATACAATGTACCACCCAAGCTGACTTCAAGATATGGACCTTAAGTGAAGACAAAGATCAATTTCTGTTTAACAAAATCACCACCATGAAAAACCATCCATCTCAAGATCTCTTGCTGCCAAAATGAACAAGAATACTAAGGACAACAGGGAATGAATTCCAACTCCCCCAGATAAGAAATGAAATATATAAAAACTTGTTTATGAACAGATGTCTTTTCAAACTTGTGTGATCATATTCCATTACGTTTGATTATTCCTTTTTATCTCTTTTTATATCACGTTGAAAATAACAAATTCTCTCTATTATTCATGATTTTTGACTGTAAAGGCTGATTTTTTCAATACACAATCATCATCATCATCATCATCATCATCATCATCATCATCAAGTATGCTCCATATTTCTATCTCTACCATACAAAGTGTCCATTAAAATTAAACTATAAACCACAGTTTGAGATTTCAAAGAGCAAGTATTCTAACCATTAAAACATTACTTTTTCCTCAGATGTGTAAAAAGTTTTTAATGTGGATGTCACCAGCATCTTTAATAGTGATGTCCTGCTAACAGCACATGCAAAACCATAATATAAGGTTTATAAACAGGTACTGGTATAGTGTTGATGAAACCAGAGAAAATCAGAATTAAAAATGTCTTTTGGAGTAACTACTAAATTTTCAATTACCGGTAAATCACCATAAGACAGAAAAAAGAGGAGTAAGGCCTTGCATTTCACAGCTAAGCACTCAGGTTACAAAGTATGATTCAAAGTTATGGCTGCCCCAATCAAATTTTCAGAACATTTGAAGACAATTTCCAACTGTTTAGTTACACTCTTTGTATTCTCAAAACAAATTACCGGTAGGTCATTGGTCTCCAGAGACATTTTAGTTGCCAGCCACAAAAAAACACTAAATAGATTTAGACAAGTAATTACTGCTTTGTCTGATCTAAGCACAGTGTGTAGTGGGTGCTTCAGAAATGTGTAACCAGCAAAGATGCCAGCCACTCAAGTGCTTCTGAAGAACCGTGAATGATTCATTTGAATGAACATTATTTGATTACTAAATTTACTGTCCCCTTTGTCCTACTTTGTTTTGTTTGATTTTTGTTTTAACTTCAAAGCTGTTTTTGTTGATAGATTTTGAACTGTCAAAATGTACATAGATTTTGAACAGTAAAGTTAGTCAGTTAGGAAGCCTTTCTTATAGGGATAACCTCAGGGGTCTCCCTTTTAAAATACTGTATATTTGTGTTTGAATCAAGAGTTATTATCATTATTATTTTTATAATTATTATAATAACTGTTATAATTCCACCCATATAACACTTTTAATAATAATGTTAGAAGTATATCATTTTGTAACTCCTTTAAGATTCAGAGTTCAAGATTCCCGTAGGTTAGCTCAAGAAGGAGGAAGAATTCATACTTTATGGCTCAAATTTTGCTTCTTGCAGGAAGTTCATTCCATTTTCAATTATTCTTTAAAAATTATTTTTGAGAGAAAGGGTGGGCTTGTTAATTCTCTTGTCTCGGGTTGCACTCAGAGTGGATTTCCACAAAAGTTCAAAAATAACCTCAAGTTCCTTATAGTCTTTCTGCAGCAATGAATTGAAGACCAAGATAAGCCAAACTTTTTTTTTCCTAAGATAATATTTATTACCAGAAATTGGTCCATGAATTGACAAAGTTCACATGCAGGTATGGATCTCAACAGTATTTCCTGAATATTGACAAAGTAACTTCAATCCCAGTTAAAATGTAGGTTTATGAATAAACTTAAGAGATCTTAGTGACCTGAGTACAAGTCAACTAATGTACTTGTCAATGATAAAATTAAGACTAAAATTTTTAACTGAAAGATGAATGCAAAAGATGCTGAAATAAGTGCTCTTAGGTCCAATGTGTCAGGTCTTACAAGTAGCTTTTGGTGACCTTAGGCTGTCCTGAGTACAGCCACAAATTTAGTCAGACCATGCTGGTCAGGTTTATTTGATCAGCCAATTACCACAGTTTTTTACTGTCACTTAAACAATCTCCACACTGTTTTTTCCCCCTAAATCATTGGAACAAGATAAAGACATTTATTCCATTCAATAACATCAATTAATTAAGGTATTGATAAAGAATTGCAATTATTTTTTCATGTCTGACAGTGTCAATGATATTATGATTGGTACATTGCTGAAAGTTATTTATGATTAAGTAAACTGTAAACAGTTGTTACTCTTTTTGATAAAACTTAACCCTATGACCCCTAAGAGTGACTAGCATCTAATTTCTCCTCATAATATCACTCCTAAATCACACATTAAGGTCACAAGAATTAACCCTTTAACCCCTGAGGGTGATAAGAATCTAATTTATCCCAACATTACCACCCTTGGATTAAATATTGTGGTTTTGAGAATAAAGGAAATGATCCCAAACTCAACAAGTTCTTGATTATTAGACAAATTCTCCTTCTCAGTACCATAGGAAATGTTTAGAGAACAGTATGGAGAACTTGCAGACTGATGTTAGGGTGTAAAGGGTTAAGGAAATGATGACCAGTGCAAATATGTGAATTTTCATATATCTAAAATCTTCAAGTTCTTGATTATTAGACAAATTCTCCTTCTCAGTACCATAGGAAATGTTTAGAGAACAGTATGGAGAACTTGCAGACTGATGTTAGGGTGTAAAGGGTTAAGGAAATGATGACCAGCTAAAGAGGCTCTTGATTATTGAACAAATTCTCTTTATCTGCACCTTAGGAAATGTTTAGAGAACAGTATGGAGAATACAGAGACTGATGTTAGGGTATAAAGGGTTCATATTGGAGCAATTAACCCACTCAAAGCAAAACAGACCCACAATTACAAAATAACCAAGATTGGGAATTTACAATCTTATTCACCTCAGTTCACACCTTAACACATTATAAAACTCACCCATGCTGTAACAAGTTATTCCTGTATCCAGAAACTCAGATCCTGTAACCTTTTGGGACAGTTATCTGCCGGAAATAAAAATTACATGAACACATAATTTAGCACAGAAAACATGCCTGATAATTCTTAAGATTTTACTTTATAAACCAGCTTGCCAAAATTTGTGTATCTTTATAAATTTCCCCTCAAATGTCAAGGATCGTAATATAATTACATCTGTGCTTTTATAGTTTCTTTTAACATCAATCATTGTCATTTACAGGTAATTGGTACAAGTTGTACCTCCAAGTGATATTCACAAATTTACATAATCATGACATTTGATACAAAGCAAGTCTTAGTAGTTAAAAAACATAACTCAAATATAAAAAAGCAAATGTACATGCTTTGTGTTTCTATAAATCTGTAATTGTCAACAATTTAATGTCAAAATTAGCAACAGAAAATAGGACTGATCTCAGTTAGACATAAGTTTTTGGTGCTTTTGGTTCAATTTCAGTATGTTCAGATCAATCTGAGTAATGATCCTTATCATCCTGCTTTAAACCTGTCCAGAAAAAAATTCATTTTTAGAGTATTGAGTATTGTAGCACTGAGCTTATTTTAAAAACAAATTACACATTGGCTTTGCCCCAGTTATTATAAATTATTTCAAAGAGCTGATAGAAGCACAAGTCAAAATATGACTGATGTATTGACGATCTTATACACTGGTATTTCACACTTTGATTCTCAACTTTATTCTACAATGTAAAAATTCAAAGGTCATTGTAATGACATTTCAGTTTTGAACAAAAACAAAGCAAGTATTTGAAGCATAGCCATCGTAAACTATATATCAACAGAAAGTTTATGAAATGCACTATTTGGCAAAAATTATTTTGTTTAAGCTTGATCTAATTGTAAACCAAAAGAGGCAGGACAATTAGAAATGGACAAAGTTTCTTTTAGTGAATTAATAGCATATCAAATCTGGCTGCACAAGTAAAATCTCTGGACAACTTCCATCCTGATGGGTTTGTCTTCAAAACTGTGTTGGAATTTTTCAATATTCTTATTGGATGCTTTGAAACTTGTCTGTCAAGTTTGCTGATCAAAATTTTACCGATACACATTACGTCACAGGCCCTTGTGGAGATCCATTTTTCCAGTTTTTTTTGGTTGGTATCTTGGTAGTCTTTGGGTCAAATTTTAAGGCAATCTGTAAAGTTTACATACTCTTCTAATTTGTTCAAAGAAGGCACATTTGTGTAAAAACAAAGTGGGTTTTTTTTTGCCTTCAAAGATTCCCAACAATTTACAACTTTGGGTGATTACCTGTCAAGATATGTCAACGCTGAAAAGCTTGAAATGCCAATGCCAATACAAAAACAGAATAAGCATCCTGCAGAGTCTCAGGAGACTCAGCAGTGAAGATTGCCCAAAACCATAAACCTTTATCCAATTCAGTGAGATTCTTTCACCAATCCATGTTGAGTTTCTTAACCTCTTTTTAATTCCACCTATGGACTCTTCTCCTTTTATCTTCCTCCATTCACATTCTAGTTTTAAATGCAGAAAGATAGCAAAGATCTCCATGTGCAACCAAAATCATGAGATGTTCATGTGATTAAAATTCAAGGACCAGGATGTTTTGCCACAAGAAACCCTCCGGTAGTCATTCATGTTATAACTGGCTCTTCAATTTGGCGAGTGCATTTCAATATTTTACCAAATTTTTCTTGGAAACTATTGTTAAAATAATTATGCTCAGTTTGACATGAAAAGAAAAATTTTCAATAAAAATGGCCCTTGAAGGTCTACCATATCCTTAACTTTCCGCACTGCCTTTTGTTGCTGCAGATTTCCACTTTGTTCAAAGGGAGATAGGGGAGTTACATGTAGAATTATGGTTTTCATTTATTACTTTCTGCTGAAGTCAAATTAGACTTCTGTGTTTGTTGTTCCACTTGGATGGCATACCCTGGTCAAAGTCTTGCTGATTTCCTCTGCTTCTATGGCAAAACAGGAATGAAATTCAGGTCACCATCTTCCCACATTGGCCTAGACACATTATCTCAAGCTGGGGGTTACATTGCCCTCAAGTGTAATTATGTCACCCTTGGTGTGGTCATGTTGCCCCCAGCTGTTACATAGCTTGAAGTGGTTCATTACCAATAACAATACTTCTAATATTTAAATATCACTGACTGACTAAAAAAAAAAGTGTATTGAGTTACTTTACCTTTTCAGACTTGATGGCTGATCCTCATGAAGCTGTTTGTAAAATGTTTTTAGTTTCCCCTTTTGTAAATGATGTAATATTGGAAATTAATTTTTATCTGAAATAAAAGGTTTGCATTAATATTCTGTTTACTGAACAATGAAACCTCAATGTCACAAGTTGATTATTTCACCTCACTCTCAGTCCACCTAATTTACACATGAGCTTTGTTCATTAGCTTTGGTTGGTGCTAGTTTTTTGTTATTGTCCTGATCAAGCAGAAGAGTTTATAACTAAGGCAGTAAGTGAAGCAAATCATTTTGTATTTTTGATCCATGCACTGTGAGTTTAATCCAATAATGGTAACTTAATTTAGTATGTTTTGACTATTGTTTTAGAAGTCATAAAACAAGTCTAATTGATCAGCTGGAGTGGCAGCAAACAGCTCATTTTCGAGGCTGTTCATTTTACCTGCTTTGGCTAATTCTCTTTAATCAAGCTGTTGCTATCAGAAAATCACTTTAACCCTCAACTGACAAGCACAGTAACAGACTGATCAGAGGGTTGGAGGACAACGTTGCTACCCTGTAAAAGAGGAAAAATTGAGAGTGTTTAATCAATAAGATGTAAAAAAACAAACAAACAAAAACAATTTAAAATTGTCTCAAATTAGTTATAAATGATACTTACCTTGTGACATTCAAGTGAACGATATTTTACATACACTTTCCGTTTTTTCATTCACAATTCATTCACAAGAAGAAATGGTACAGAGGGTTATATGAATTTTTTTCTGGAAAAAAAATTGGGGTTTATCTCAAATTTCATTGAGAATAAAGGCTAATTTTCATTTAAGGTAAATGCAAATTAAACTGCAACGTCATCTATTGTTTGCGCTATTGTTTTCTTCTAACAAAGGACTGTATGCATATTAAGTATGGGGCTGTGCGGAAACTTTGCCCTTATATGAGTTCAAGAAGTGAGATTTTAATTTTTAATAAACATAAATCAGAGATTAAGAGTTAAAGACTAACTCACCTTGATATTCGCGTTCTTCGGTCGATCGACGCGGAAATGAAGATTGTTGATGTTGCTTTAACTGATCCAAATTTCTCACCAAACACGAGTCAAGATTACACTTAAGTCTTTTATGATGCACTGGTTTATCTTAAAATTTCAAGGAATTCTTATAACCATTAAAAGTATGAACAAGCACGACGATTAGTGCTTTTCTGGGTACGTGTTCTGGAATGTGCAGAACAAAGCATCTTTTTCCCATCATTCACTGGAAGAATCTTGGGAGAAGGGGATGTTTTGCGTGACTTATGTGACTGGCAAAACAATTTCGGAAGTCACGCGATCTACTTATCGAGGGAAAAAATGATTGCTTGATTACCGATTAAGTTTTCCATACTTCATGATAAGATCTGAGGAAAAAATGCGCCTAACATCGTGTTTTGTGATCTACACAACTGCACAATTCTCATGCGCCAACGATCTCAGGTCTAGAAAACAAGAGATCAGAAGAGGTTGCCGACTCTATTGTCTATCTGGTTCGACAGATCGAATACAGCTGCGATGCCACAGTCACCATATCGGAACTTGTATGCTGAAGGGGCAAACTTGATCAGGCATTCAACACAGCGAACAAGCTCTTGATAAAGTTCTGTCACCAGAACGAGTGGAAATTAATTCGGCATCAAAATATCACGTACAATAGACTCAACAAAGGTGGACTTCACCTTCATTTAAAGGTAACGAACAGTTAACGCATTTATATTGAAATTATGTTCTATCCTCGAATTCCGTGCCTAATAAGAGTGATGAGTAAAGAATTAGAAGTTTTTGGGTACCAAATTATGGGGGTGTAGACTCCACCCAAACTTTAACTACCGGTCTGAAATTAGCCTCTCTTAATATCAATAAATTGACTACTCACATAGACGAGTTTAGGATACTCTTAGCTGATAATGGTATAGATAATTTATCAATAACGAGACCAAACTCGATGAAAATACAAGTGATGATTAAGTCCACGTCCTCAGATACGAAATAATTTGTCGTGATGGAATCAGAAACGGCGGGGGAGGGGTATGTTTTCATGTGAAAAAAGAAAAGAAAACTACCGAATAAATGTTATCAGCCGGAACGACTTATAAATGTATGCCCTAGAAAATCTCTGCTTGGAGATTCCAAGGCCTAGATCAAAACCGATTTTAGTTGTCACGTGGTATAGTCCACCAGACGCTAATATTGGTATCAGTTTCGCCTTTCGAATCTCTAATCGGGAAACTTGACAGTGAAAATATAGAGTACTTCGTAATAGGAGATCTTAACTGTAATATGACTTCTACCCGATATGACAACAACACACTCAAACTGAAGAGTGTTGCTGATGTTTTTCTGGACTCCAGCGACTCATCTCAGAACCGACAGACTAAACAAAGTTATTCTAATTACCCGAGCTCGGTTTCCACAGATCGTACAGCTCACGCCGGAGACATAGAAACAAATCCCGATTCAGAGGACGCAAAAAGAAGGAAAAAACAGGGCAAAGTACTCAGGAAGTGTAGTCTGGCATGCAATATAACTATATGGCTAAACCAAAAGGAGTTAATATACAATCTATCTCGTAAAGAAAGCGACGAAACTTTTGAGTCTGTAAAACATGTTTCGACAGAAACTTCTGTCATCTTCAGTTAACTACCGTACAAAGCGTTGAAAGTTGAATTATGTACTAAGTAGAACAATGCTACAAAGGTCGATTGCAACAACTCCTCCGAAAATTGAAGAAAAATGGTCATCTCGACAACGGGGTGTATGAAAACATCTACCCCAAAGGCTCCCAACTAGCAAGAATTTACGGCCTTCCCAAAATGCATAAGGATCGTGAACCCAACTCTGCGCCGCCATTTCGCCCCATCATATCTCCTATAGGAACATACAATAACAACCTGGCCAAGTACTTATGTCGTCTTTAAACACCTCACATTCCAAATGATTACTGTGCCACTGACACTTTTACTTTTGTACAGGACAGCCAATCTTTATCTATGTCTCGTAAGTTAATGGTTTCTTTTGATGTTGAAAGTCTCTTTAATAACATACCACTTGAGGAGTGTATTGACTTAGCTGTCAATTACATTTCCGAGGGTAATCCCGAAATTAAGTTAATTAACAATTGGTTCATACGTCAGCGTGCGTTCATCGAGATATGAAGCACGTGGGAAGTTTGGAGAGCACGAAAGATGCGTAAGAGTTGCTCTCGGCTACGCCTCGAGCAACTCAAGCTTCTCGTTTTTTTTCTGGAGGGATTTGTTTGCTGACGTCATGAGCGTGGACAATAGGAATATGAAGCACGCTTGCGCAATTGAATTTGATTACACAAATTTACTAGCTATGCTATAAACAAATCTGAACTTAGAAGCCTCTCACAACAGCTATCGCCCAGACTCATTTCATATTTAACGGTTCTAAATATGATCAAATAGATGGCGTAGCCATGGGGTCTCCCCTTGTTCCTGTCCTAGCTAACCTTTTTATGGGACATCATGAAAAACTTTAGTTGGAAAATTTTCATGGCTCTACAATTTTATTTTATCGCCGGTATGTTGATGATACTTTTTGCTTATTTAACTCAGATCGAGATACCACTATATTTTTCGACTATATCAACTCTAGGCACCCTAACAAGTTCAAGTTCACTATGGGAAAGCAGGTTAATCACAAATTACCCTTTTTAGATGTCCTGATTGACAACCATGATCCCAATTCCTCTCTAACTAGGGTTTACCGGAAAAAATTTTCACCGGGTTACTAACTAATTATTTCAGCTTCACCTCGTCCTCTTACAAAGTGGGTCTCATTAAGACACTCGTTGATAGGGCTTACAAGATTAATAACACCTGGTTAGGGTTTCACGAGGACATTAACAAACTTACTGATATTCTAAAAAAGAATCTTTTCCATGCTCATTTAATCGAGAAGATTATAAACCGTTACATCACTGGAACCCAAAACAATCATCATCCCCGGGGCTCCCTTCCTACCACTTCACCTACGTTCTACTTTAAGCTACACTACGTAGGCCACTTTTCTGCTATCACTCAAAAAAAGATCCGCCATTTTATTAAGCTCTATTGTAATGACTTGGGTATCAAACTGGTTTTCTCTTCCTTCAAAATCGGTAACTTGTTTGGTGTGAAAGACCCTGTCCCTGACGGGCTCCGTTCACGTGTGGTTTATAAGTTTGTATGTGCTGGCTGTAATGCCTGTTACGTCGGTGAAACCTGCCGGCATTTTTCCACACGTGTTAGAGAGCACTTAGTCATTGACTGGGCCTCTCACATTTTCAGGCATCTGAAAGATTCTCCACACTGTCGCGCTTTGTGTTCAGCAGATAACTTCCATGTTTTAGATCACGCCTCTACCGGCTTTCAGCTTAAGAGAAAAGAGGCTATTCATATCCAAAGAGAACAACCATCTTTGAATCAGCAGTTACGCCATGTAAATCTAAAACTATCTTTTTAATTCTCACACTTGCATGCTTTACCTCTCTTCTTGTTGTCACTATTCATCTTAATTAGCATTGTTCTACTTTCTATATAATTCAACTTTCAACGCTTTGTACAGTAATTAACTGAAGATGACAGTAGTTTCTGTCGAAAAATGTCTTACAAACTCAAAAGTGTTGTCGCTTTCTTTAAATTATATACCAAGCTTTCATTCAATCTCACTTTGACTACTGTATTACTGTTTAACGAACCTGTGGGGTAACTTTACAAGACAAGCTACAAAAATTGCAGAATAGAGCAGCTTGCGTTCTGACATTTTCAAATTATGACACTGACGCTGGCCATTCGTTGGAAATTTTTGGGTGGAAAAATCTTGACCGTCAGCGCAACATACAAAAGGCCACCAGGGTTTTCGAATGCCTACATGGGTTAGCTCCGGACTATTTAACTTCCAAATTCTCTGAACAAATACAAGCAACAACCTGAGGGACTCCGAGAACAAACTTAATGTTCGAATACTACGCACAAACTATTTCAAAAATAGTTTTAGTTAAAATGGCGCCACATTGTGGAATAGCCTTTCTGGCGAGGCTAGGTGCGCGGAATCCCTCGGGTCGTTAAAAGAGAAATCAGCAAAGCTCTCTAAGGTACGGCATTCATCAAAAGCAGCAATATAATGATGTTATTAACATAAATTAAAACTTAATGGTTTTTAATCTTTTGTAAATACCTGATGAATTGCCCGTGATTAAATAAAGTATTTTGAAAAAGAAAAAAATGCACATGTAAAGTTTTGCCAATCCTTACTTACATAATTTTATTATGAAACTGTGATGGTGAGTCGAGTGAAAAAACGAAATAGCCATTGCAAAGCTAGGAGTTCAAAAGAAAGAAAAAAACCTTGCCCAAATATTATTTTATCCTACATTCGTAATACGACTTACATGTGGTTGGTCCCCTGCGATTTTTCAAATTAATAAATCTCATTTCCTCCTAATCATACCCTTACGACACATTTCTATGGAGCTTCGCACATATCCATCCATTTTCATGCATGGTTCTGGTTGACGAATTGTTTGGTCGATTGTCAAGTTTTATTTTTCAATTGAAGTGCAGCTCTATCATTTTCAAATTTGATTTGTCGTTGAATTGCAGGAAAGAATCTCTTTTCACTTGGTCTGTTATTCTGTCAACATCTCAGTCCATCGATAACATGTGGTCAAAATGAAAGGGTTGCCTACCTCCGTAAGGAAATAATAAACAATGTTTTCTCAGTATACAAGCTTTTATTGTTAAATGTGGGAATAAGAGTATCTGGTGAAAGATCGTCCTCTACTGCCCGAAGATTAAAAACCGTATTTCCGCGCTTATTTGAAATTTCGTCTCAAAGGAAAGGCGCTTTTTGGAAGCAGGGCGATTAATTAGAAGATTAAACGAGACTTACCTGTAAGTTGAAGTTTGATTGAGATTCTATCACATGACATCAGAAGGCGAGAGATCACGTGAGATAGCACGGCGCTTGCGCTAGTCATAATTTAAAGCCACGTACTGGGTGCATCAAAGATAGTATTCAGGCTGAAAAAGCCAAAGTAGGAAGAGATAGGCAACCAAAGTGCCCATGAGAGGGTGGGTGTGATAGTGGAGGGCATGTGATCTCTCGCCTTCTGATGTCATGTGATAGAATCTCAATCAAACTTCAACTTACAGGTAAGTCTCGTTTAATCTTCCAATTCTATCACATGACCAGAAGGCAGAGATCCCATGAGACTTTAAAGCGTTGATGCACCCATACGAAATGCACTCGAACAAGAGGCATTAAATCCACACCAAAGTAATAGGTAGAACATAAACAATGATAACCATGTTTTTAATATATTGTCTAACAAGAACAAGATAAGCGAAAGAGCAACTGCGATATTCCAAAAAACACATCAAAGGTGTCACTGGTCAAGGATAGCGGAAGCTAGTCTGTTTCCTTGAAGAACTGGTTTGTTGTAATATTTACGAAAGTTCTCTGCAGACTTCCAGCCTGCCTTTGCCATGATCACATGGACAGGGACGTCTTTCATTTGCTTTGGAAACAGATGCTGACCTAGTGCTGTGTGCCGTGAACACCTTAGTATCAATACCGCAAAGTCTAAGAGTTTCCTTAGTCCACCTAGAAATCGTGTCCCCAGATACAGGCTTATGGGGCCTAACACAACTAATAAACAATTTTGTTTCGTTGTCGATCTGAATTTGGATGTGGCAGTTGTTCATATGGCTACAAAAACACTTTAACGCAAAAAAGGCTGCAAGTAATTCCAATATGTTTATATGGTATTCGGCTTCCGAAGGGGTCCATCTCCCCCCGTTTTTTGAGTGCCAAAAACAGCTCCCCAGCCCAATGTTGATGCGTCTGACTGAATTGAAGTGCTGGGGTGGGCGTGTTGGATATCTCGTTTGAGAGTTTGGGCATTATCACGCCACCACTAAGGTTCTGCTAAAGCGGGAGGGGATAATTGCATTTCCCCCCCGTAATCGCCCTTGTTTGCTACGAGTGCGAGATATTTATCCCGATCAAGATGGCGGTAGTGAAGTGGTCCGTACTGAGCACCGGGGAAATTGGACACCAGGATACCGATAACCTCTGCGATCTGTCTAATTGCGGGCATTTGTGTTTTTAATAGCGAAGCACAGACAGACAGAATCTGTTGAACTTTTTCCTCCGTAAGCGTTACTGTCATAGCTTTAGAATCCAGTACAAACCCTAAGAAAGTTAATTTCTGAGAAGGTATAAAAACCGATTTCTCTGGATGGATATGAAATCCTAATTTGGTAAACAGCGTGATGGTGTCAGTGACATTTTTATGACATTCCGCGGAGGTGTCGCCTTGTAGATAAGAATCGTCAATATACCCTGAATTGAGATGTCCCATGCTCCGGAGTGTGGCATACGCAGGTTTCAATAGTTTAGTAAATATGCGCGGGGCACTGGCTAGGCCATACGGCAAACAGGTATATTTGTAGAGAGCACCGTCAAAACAGAACTTTAAGTACTTCTGGTGAGACGCGTGGATAGGAACGGTATAATACGCGCCCTTTAAGTCCACCAAAGCCATAAAACAACCTGGTCTCATCATGTTTACAGCGGCCTCTAGAGTATCCATTTTAGAATGATGGTGAGCTATAAACTCGTTAAACGCTTTAAGATTAAGAATGGTACGGTGCGTGCCATCTTTTTTCAGTCGTAAAAATATTGTGGAAATAAATTCCTCTGTTTCCTGTGCCGCCGGAGTAACGACCCCTTCAGCGAGAATGTATCAATTTCAGCGTTGACAATTGAATGTTGGTGACTGTTGAAGGCACTAGGTCTGCCGTAATGTTGCGTGGGTGCAACGCTGCTTTTAAATTCAATTTTAACTCCAGTAACAATCTGAAGAATAGTAGGGTCAGCCGTTATCGCTTCCCACTGCGGCAAAAAATGTTTGAGCTTTCCCGCTCGAAAACTTGTTTGTGATTTTACCAAGCTATGTACAATGTCAATAGGCAAGGATGTCATGTTAGCATTACATGCCTCAGGCACCTTCATTGGCGCTGGCTCGTTTCGCCGTCCTTTTTCTTTCTCGGCGGCTTTGAGAAGCGGCTTTTGCCTAAAAAATCAGAGGATTTTCCTCTAGAGTAGGGCTGGAATCTGCGCTGGCTCGAGCCATATGTTGAGCGCCCAGCGTACTTATCGCCACGTGAAGTCCCGGAATGTTGGGGGCGAACCTTTTTCCTCAACTTATTGGCCTCTGTGATATCCTTCGCGAGCTTTGACAAATCTCCAAACAGGTACTCTGAGGTGCCATCAACAGTGGACGGGTTGCATAAAGCTGCATAGTCTTTATGCATCTCTCTCTTCATGGCCAGGCGTCGGGAGTGATTCACCTCGTGGTTGTATTGGAGGGCCATGGCAACCGCATCTGTCAGCAAGGTGATCAGTTCTTTGTCGTTGCTGTTTTTTTTCCCAGCGCCAAATCGGCGGTTTTTGTCATGGCTGAAATAGCGCCGATAAGAGTGTTTTGCCCCTTCTGCGATCTTACATCTTGAGTTTTCATGGAAGTCGAAAGCTGGCTCCAGATTGAGGGATTCACTTTCGGGGTTCGCAAACCCTTGACATTCTCTGGACGAGGATATTTGTCCAGTTTGGCCAGGGGGTGGGCGCCCGTTGGGGGAGGGCGTTAATAAGAGCATAGGCGCTAATTAGAGGAAATATGCTATTCAATTATAGCGCAACATCAATTTAGCAACCAGAAAATAATGAATATAAACAGTCATTGAGAAATGACTCACGGACCTTCTCGTCTTGACATTGCGAAAAACATATTCTGATCGTAACAGTAAGAACAGAAATTACGGAATCTTTCACGAATATGGCATGCAGTAAATATCGCCCAGTTCCTCAGTTTTAATTCTTAGACAAGCTGTACGGGATGTTTTGTCAATTTGTAATTGGTCTAATACACCGTTCAAGTACCGTCGACCAGATCAAAGTATTCTCTTCATTTCAGTAGAAATACACGATTTACTTCCTTCACTGTATGTTTTTTCTCCTTCTCGCTACATGGAATACATTTCAATCATGATTCCTAAAACCGTTTTTTAGTACATCACAATTAAAAAAATAAAAATAGCGGATTTTGGAGGTAACAAAAGTATCCCACGACACCCTTACCGTCTAGTTTGTTACTTGATGCAGTTGACTGAGGCTTTTCTGATAGCAAACCATTCTGAGGATAGAAGCCGGGAAGGAAGGAATGACAGGAAATTGCAAATCTTAAGATACTATTAGGAGATAAATGAGGCGCAGAGGCCTCATGGCTAGTTGCAGGGGGGAAGGGTGGGCAACTTTCCATGGACCACCGTTCCACGTTCCCGTAATCCTCTCCTACTCGATCGATTGGAGCATGTGAATTCAATTCGCAGTTACACAAACGGAGCAGGCCTAAAGCAGCCCGTCAAAACAGTGCACATGCCACCTAAGGAACAATTCCAGCTTCTCAAATAAGAAAGATTTAATATAATTATGACTTAACCGTCACTCACGTGACAGTTTTGAGGGTAAAGCCAATACAATATACTGTGTTAAATTATTTTACATTTCAGAGTTATGGAAGTACTTGTCAAACTGTCTCCCTTCTTCCACCAAACTCAACTGACTTTTGAGAGCTCTGATGACTGAATGTCAACCACAGTGCACTATTTACACTATGTCAACTGGAATGTTTAGAAATTTTGGCATGCAGAAGCCTGTCCCGACGTATATTGAATGCCATGAAAATAAGAAAAATGTTGACACTAAATTATGAAATTGATATTCACATTGTTTTTTTTGCTTTTAGTGAAGACTTCAAAGTATAGTTGAGGGTTTGCTCTTGGCTACATTCAAATATCTATGATTTTATGAAGAATTGTTGCATTGGGGCCCTCTTACATTAGTATCATATCATATGAAAAGAGATGACAGTCAGCCTAATGAATTAACTGATTGCCGAGGCAGCTAATAACCAAGCCTAATAAACTAAGAAAATGAAAAAATACCTGTCTCTAACTCAACAACATGAAAACCAAATTTTGAAACTCAATGCTGTAAGTCAAAACTACAATCAACAATACTGGACATCGAAAAATAACCTTAAATCAAAATATATCCAAATCCAACAATCAATTTCAAGAACAAGACACTCAGACTCCAAAGAAAACTCCCACATGTTCTCGATAATGTTGTGGAAGGGAGCTCCCACGTTAGTGAAGGTATCAATTAACCTTAGCTAAGTGATTCTAAAAATACATTTGCTTATCTTTCATCCAACCGTTGATTGTTTGTACTTTTGATCACAACACTGAAGTCTTTTACCATTGGTCAGAAACCTACCAGACCAACCAATCATCTTGAAATGTGCTTTGTTTAATCAGGTTTCCTAAACTTGTTTTCAAATTTTGTTCAAAACAATGGATACAACTTAGGTATTGACTTCTCTAACTGAACAGATCTGAAGAAATTCTATCAATAGATGGACTGCTCTGGCCAATGGCAAGTTTCCTTAGTTTCAGGCAGTCTACTGAGCCAGTCCTGGTCAGTTACGTTTACAGGCAGGACTCAGGCTCTTCCTCATCACCTGAGTCAGTAACTGACTTTTCTTCCGATCCATGCAATTTGCTCCAACGATGTCTCCAGTACTCATCTGTTGGCCATTCTTCTTCAGGTTTCACATTCCCTTTGCTATCCTGTGATAAATCACAAACCAACACTCAACATTATCTTGTCAAATAACATAAACCTGAACTCCAACTTGTTTGCCTTGGTTACTTTTTATACGAAGAGAAATTATGCCATGAGTATGTTTGACTGAGTCAATTTAAAACAACTTTTATATTAAGGAACGTTCCTTGTAAGCAAACATCACAAGGATCACCAAAATTTAGATATATTCCAATTACATCCATGGTGGGGCCAATACTGATTATGTTATTAGAGAAATAAGTAAAAGTGTTCAAAAAATATACATAACATCAAAGTGACCACCTCTCCTGGAGTCTTATAGGTACTTGACCTGACAAGCCCCTGCAGAGAATACAACTAAAGGTAACCTTTTAAGGCAAAGGCTCAGTAGTTCATGTGAGAATGAGGAACTGCTGATGTCTCCTTTTTAAAGGTTATGAATATTTACTTAGTGGCTCATCCACAGCTAGTACTCATTTTCAAACTTAGGAAACTGCAAAGGTGGACATTATTTGTGAGCATTTCAAATGCTGCAATATTTTTGTAGTTCAGCAGCTCATCAGCTCAGCAGTCTGCTTGGCAAGTTAATATAAAAAATGTAAAGACATATCACCAGTTAGGGCAAGTTTGATTCAGACAGATGTAACCTTCATTATTATTTTTACACAGGCTGATTAACAAGAAATTCTCTGGATAGAGTAGGATAAAAACATGTTTGATCAAAGTAACTGCAAACCGTTGACATTAGAGAATCTCTGCCTGCAAAATTTGAACCAGTATCTCTCTTACAGTGGTAGCATTCTTTCTCTACTACTTTTCAAGTGGAAGCCCTTGTTCATTTCTTTTCTAATCAACAATGTTCCTGGTAACTTCTGGTTAGGACCAGAGGGAGAAAAGGAAAATCTGTGTAAAAGGAAGTTTAAGGGAAAAAATTCTGCGGTGCCTTTACAGCACTTTTTTTAAAACCTAAATTATATACTAAATTACTGAGTTAATCAATCAAATAAAATTTACAGATTTATGCTAACCTTCCTTCTACAAAACTCCCAAATACTATTCCAGAAGCTCTTTCTAAGGGAATACTCAGGTATTAAAATTTTTTTCTCAGAGCGTCCAGAAACACACCACATTTCCTTTGAAGTTTAGCTTTTCCTCCATCAGAGAGAAGCTTCAGCTTTAAAGTATGACATTGTTTAACAACTCCTAAGAGCTGTAAATAAAACAAAGTGAAAAAACTAGGGTCTCAAATCATTTCTTACAGACAGATGCTCAGTTCATGGTAAGTACAAGCAATTGTTTACTCCCTCAATTCTGTTGCCCTTACGGAAATCAAGACCATTTTCCGAAGGAAAAAAATAGCTAAACGAATAAACAAAAGTCGAAAACCAGTCCTAGCAGATTTCCTAAATTTTAAGACAAGTTTAGAAAGTAGCTCCTTGATCTCTTCCAAACACTGACATTAACTTTCTGTCATTAATATCTGAAAACACGCGGCCGTCCTCACATTCAAGCGCACAGAGTGGTAACGCATTTACTTTCGTTTTACTTTATTTTCTACTTTTTTCTCTGGTCCTAATTATAAAAGGAATAGATTTATCGAGGTTAATGGGATGAAATTAGGAATGAAGTGTATCCTGTTTCTGTGTTTCCACTGTTTATAGTCACACAAAATAATATTGTTTAAGACACTCAAAAACAGACTACACACTTCAGAATTCACCCTTCTTCAAACGTAAACAATCATACTTAAATGGGCTCTCATCTTCACTGAAAAAATTACTGGTAAGTGCTAAAACAAAATTTCAACAACCACCTACAACCACCTCAAAAACATCTACAACCACTCACAAACTATCTAAAACCATCTAAAACAAGGCATAAATGTCTAAAATAAGGCGAAACGACAACATGTCACGTACACGAAATACGAGAATCGAGTGAAACCTCTACCTCCCCCTGAAATCTTACTCTCCCTGGTCCCATGTATAATCAACCATCTCACGAAATGAAATGCAATAGCATGCTAATTATTTTATATTCCCTCAGCAAAAGACTTAAAGAACTTTACAAAATGAACTAACAAGTTACAAAAAATAATAAATAGGGTAAACATGGCGCGCGTAGATATGGAATTAATCTTCGAGTGTTTAACTCGATGGCTCATGAGCACAGCGACTTCACTGAAAAAAATGCAACATGTATTATTTTGTTTATCTTTGCCCTTGGGAAGAAAACCGACCTCATTAATGAATGCAAATAAATGAATCGACAATCCTCGAATAACAATCGTAGAGTGCATTGGCGCTGACTCTTAATATGGAAAATGCTTTGAATCATGATTACAAAAACTTAGTAAATAAGATTTCAGAGGGAGGTAGAGGTTTCGTTCGATTCTCATATTTCGTGTACGTGACACGTTTTCGTTTCGCCTTATTTTAGACATTTATGCCTTGTTTTAGATGGTTTTAGATAGTTTGCGAGTGGTTGTAGATGTTTTTGAGGTGGTTGTAGGTGGTTGTTGAAATTTTTGAGGTGGTTGTAGGTGGTTTTAGGTGGTTTTAGGCGGTTTTAGGTCGTTCCTTGTTTTAGTAATTACCAAAAATTACTTGCTTTGCTTCCAAGTTTAACAGATTAAATGGTAGCGACAAAGAGTGACTGTTCACGTTCTCATGCATGTAAGCCTTTTCAGTAATTCGGAATGTAAAACTTTTTAATTGAAATCGTTAAAATCATTAAAAAGCCACAATATTTGCTTCGCTTTGGATTTCCTCTCTTACGAACCGTTTGCGAGTCGGCTTGTTGCGACAAAATACAAAAGAATGTTATGAAAGTATGATTAAAACGGAACGAAATTGAGCTGCGAATTACCCTTTGTCCAGCAATGCGGATAATGGACTGGGCTTTTTCTTTTTTTTTTTTTTTGGGACTGGGGATTCTTAAGGAATCCAAAGAAGATGCTCCATTTCAGTTCAACTTTGACTGTTGCCCGCACACGTGTTTTTCGGAAATGCGCAAGTGTCTCTTGTGGCTTGGAGATAGCTACATCGCAATTGCTCCGCGAACCAAGGGCGTAAAAATTCTTAAAACAACACCACAGGAAATTGAACAGAATCTATAAGAATTATGACTACATTTGTGCAAACTAAGATCACAAAACTTACGTGGTATTGTGTGTTCAACCAGGAGATCTTACTCTGACGTACAGCTGCACTCAATTCATTCACTTGTTGCTTTGTCATTTTAACATCAGAAAGCCTCAGCCTCTCCAGGTGAGGAACACGGCTGAGATGTTGAATAAGAACACTTACTCCTTCACCAAGAGGGTTCTCTGACAAGTCGAGCCATTGCAGGCCAGGAGCCTGGTGCAGAGATCTGGCGATGACTGCGGCAGGTTTGGCTGTTAAATTGATATTAACAAGTACTAATGTGTCAAGTCTGTCAGTGAAGATGATACGAGACACCAGGGTCTCTGTCAACTGAGCATCAATGATTTCAGGGGGTTTACCAAAAATAAGTATCCATCGCAGAGCAGTGAAAAGTGGTAAGAAATCAGCCAGCATCTTTATCTCTTGCCTTTCTATGTCTTCAATATAAATCTCCTTCACACAGGAAAGGCTCTGCGGAGTAGGACCAGTGATGCTATCGGTGTTCTGAGTCAAACTCGAAGCTGTTTCGCTGTCGTGTTCATTCAACGGATCAACAAGACGCGTCACCTGAGTAGACTCTGCTGTTGGCGAAATGAGCTCTCGCAGCATTTCAGTCGGAAAAGTGATATCATCTATATATTTGCGTATTTGATAAACATAAACGACGATTTTTCTCTCTCTCTTAAAAAAGAACTCGCCCAAAGAACGACGCGGGAACTTCTTCAGTAAATCTGCGGCTTTCTTTTCACCCGAACAGCTCAAAAATACTGCATTTGTGTCCTCCGCTACAGTGATCAAGTCTCGATAGCTTTTCTCTGAAGAATCATTGAAAAAATAGGGACGAAAAAAAATAAAGTCGGGTATCATGCCAGATTTCAGCAAATGTTCATTTGCAGTAATGTTCAACTTGTTAGAATCAAGATCCAAAAAAAGACCTTCGGTACAAGAGAGATATGCTGAGCAGAGATCCCGCCTCTTCTCGGCCGAACAACAAAAGTAGCTATGCGAGATAAGCTCAAGATAAAGTTCTTCATTTGAAGGCAGTTCTTCATCATCCTCCAGAAGCAGCTCAATGAAATCACATACCGACACAGATTCCTTTCTTCCAACAGACCCCACATGATGGAAAACTGCGCACGCGGCTTCTGTTGACAGCTCACAGGCAAATTTCAGAACTTCATCCATCTTATCGATCTTTTCAAATGATTCAACTTTGGAAAGGCTAGGCGTACTTTCTCCTTTAATCGACAACACTTCCTCCTTAATGTGCCAGGCTGCAAGGAACTCCTGTACGGATTTATGAATGAAATAGGCCCCTTTCTCAGGATTGAGACTCGTAAGATTGACAATCTGGAAAAGCCCAACTTCACTTAATTTTTGAAAACTTCTTGAAATATTACCGGGGAGTTCGCTGCAGCGTACGTAAAGACGGCCTTGCAGAAGTGCTTCAAAGGCAGCCTTTCCAAGATTACTAAGGTCTTCTCTGGCTTCTGTTGAGGTCACTTTCTGAAATGGCATAGGCTGGTGACTTTCGCCTTTGTGATCTAGCATGGTTTGAATGAATTGTGTGAATATGTCGGCCCGTGATTTTGGCAGTCCTTCGTGATGTTTCTCTTTCCACAAAATACACAGCATCAGTAGGAGGAGAGGTATTTCTGCCATGTCAACGAGATCTTTTTCTTCCAGGTAGGACATGAACTCGTCAAGATCTTGTTCATCTGCCAAAAATTTTCTCGCAAAGATTCGTTTTTGTTCCCAGCTTTTGAAACCTTGAATTTCTAACTGAACGTGGCTGGGGCCTCTTAACTCGTCACATTTAAGTTGACGCGTGGTGACAATAACGTGACAATCTCTTAGTTGCTCACCCTTCCAAATTTCAAGGATGGGTGAGTGTTCTTCTGCAAAGCTGTACTCATCGTAGCCATCCAAAATAAGAAGCACTTTATCTTGATTGTTAGTTATGTAATCATAGAGACTATCAACTGAGATCGGACCATCACTGGCCAGCAATTTAGACGCACGTAAAACGTCGCGGATGTTTCCCACGTCACACACATCTCTCAACTTAATCAGAAGCAAAATGCTAAAGTTCATTAGGATTTCTTTTAAGGCTTTCGACCAATCATATGCAGCCTTCTTACAAAACGTACTCTTGCCAATTCCTGGCCGACCATAAACAAGCATTCGTGTTGGTTTTTCCTTGAACATGTCGGTGTAGTCTTCAAGTTCCTCTTGTGTCACTCCGCTGGGCTTCCTGTGATCTCTGACCCAAGACAAAGGTGTGTAGATCTCATCAATCTGAATGGAAGAGCTGTCGTCCCATGGAATGATTTTCACCTTGCTAAAGGTGTTGTAATAAGACTTAAGCTGCTCTTGACACTTCTCAACATTCAACGGTTCTAAGAAAAATTAAAAAAAAGGAATTTAACTTTTATTGAAGGAATAACTATGCACACGATGCCAAGTTTCTAACATCACACGAACTCAAGTACAGCTTTCTCGGCATGAAAGGATTAAGATAATTAACCCCTGCCACCGCCCCCTTTTCCCCTCCCCCCCCCCCCCCAATCCCGGCAAAAAAACCCACCCACACTCTGTTCCTTTATTTTTCCCTTTGTCGGTAGCTCTTTTGAAATTGGAGGGAAGATTAAATTTCCAGCATTTATTTTATCATGGATCAATAACGTTGGGAAAGGAAGCGGCCAAAGTAAAAACAAAAAACTTCATGAATTTTTATTTCGTAAAATTTTGCGCAGTACTTTTTCTTGAACAAGAATGACAAATTGGTATAAGAAAAGGGAAAGGAAAGAAGTTTGACTGTCTTGTCACGAGCGTGAGACAAAGGAAAAATTTTGAGTCCTCACCAGGAATAGAACCTAACACCTTCAGATTCTGCGATCGGACACTCTACCGCTATAAGTATAATATAAGTTATTAAAACGAAAGCTTGGTATGAAATTTCTTCACTTGATAATTATAATACCTGCTCGCCTTCTACGTTTATTTTCTGAAGGATCATCACTTTTACAACTCTCCTCTCCCGTCGAATTGTCTGCAAAAAATAAAAGAAATTTATACTATTATGAGAATTAAAATACACTTCACTAAATTTGTGAAATGGGTAACAAGCAGGAGTCGAAACAAGTGCTGATTGAAGATGAAAATCTCGTGTGAGCCCGCACACGGAATTAAAGAGAAAAGGAAATTTATCTGACTTGAAGAATTGAAATTCATTGGGAGGGAATAAAAGCTACGATTTAGATCTCATCAATGTTTTAAACTGGTCAGTAACAGTGAGGTATTTCGCAGAAAGGTAAATAAAGAAAATTTGGGGTCATCTTATATACTGCGCAAGAGTCTGGAGAGTAGTTGATAAGCGTGTTTAATAAACGATTTGTAATACCTATGATCAAAGACGAAAGATAAAAGATTTAATTTAAGACTAATGAAATACAAAGGCAACGCAGAACATTATCCATGACCTCAAAATTGAAATTAGAACTACTTAAGTGAATTTGTACATGTCTCAGTTTTTTTTAACAGCAGTGCGATTGAAAAACAAAGAATGCCTATGTTTATCAGTTTTCTGATGTAAATTTAATTCCACTGTTGGCCTTCATGTTCTCATCAGCAGATAACGATATTCTATACCGAGGAAAAAAAGCAAGTTAGAAGACCTCTTGGAAGACACAACCAAAGCTGTTACAAATGTGTACACGTACCTCCGTAATGAGGCCAGTCTCCAAACACAAAAGAGTTCCTCAGTATGTTGGATACAACAGAAGCTGCCATAACACAAGCAAAAGTCTTCCACGAATCGTTTGTAGATGCAACGCCATGTACAAAACCACAAACACCTTTAACGACAAGCCACTCCATCTTCATGTCATGAGCTGCTGCAAACAGGCCTGAGGTAGAAAAATGAATAAAAAAAAGCAATAAAAATCGGAATGGATTTAAACAATGATATTATAGGGAAATCGTTACGATTGATTTGAGTAAAAGAGGCTTCGTTTTTCTGCAGATCACCCTTTTTGTTTTTCCTTTGCTACTGGAAGTCTTTAAGAGATGTGTTTTTCTGCAGGTATATAAATTAGCACCACTCTTCATTAAGAGTATAATGAATTGGGCGGAGTACCTTTTTAGTCAGAAGCGGTATATCAGAGAGTAAGGATTTGGAATTCAGGAAAGAGTTTCCTCGAAAAAAAGTATTGAGTACCTCGCCTCTAACAAGAACCTGGCTTAATAGTCTAGCAACCAGGAGCTTTGAACAGTTCAAAAGATGAGGCTTGAAGATATGACAAGCTGGAGGGCACAGTATAATCAGTAAAGATTACCATTGTACACCTGTGCCAACCACTCCCCCTACAAAAATAGTTAAGTTCTTACCCTCCTCCTAGTTTAATAGTTTAGCAACCAGCCTCCTGTAGTTCAGAGGTAAAGCTTAAGAACATCAAAGAGGAAGGTATGCTGTAATACTCATTACTATTGTACACTTGAGGTGACCACTCCCCATACAAAAAAAAACCTAACTTTCTCTCCTCCTTCAGAAACCTGGCCTTACAGAGTGGTGACCAGAAGCTCCCCTCTAGTCCTGTGGCTCCGTGGCAAAGATTGAGAACATCAATTTGGGGGTAGAGTGTAATACACATTATGTTTGAAAACCTCTGGGACTACTCGTAATTTATTTCTTGCTTGCAGTGCGCCTTTGTAAGTGACTGGGAATAATCATCTTTATGGTATTACTTTGGTTACTGGGTAACTGAGATGAGATAAAAAAGTTATATTATAAAGAAATGAACAATGATTCCATCTAAATTCACTTGTGCCAATCAGTGCTTAGGCCCAAAGCAAACACATGAAAAAGAGTTTAAATAGAGTTAATTGACCGTTTTGTGTAATTGGGTTTGGTCAGCTCTGTGTGAGTGATCCTGGTAACATGAAGTCACACTGAACATGAGAAATACATGTAGTTCTTGTTATGGCAAAACAGTTTTCAGCACAGTGATCACAGATGCCAAGCAAGAGTAACCATGAGAGTAATTCTCACCTTTTCCTTCCATATCAACTGCAATTGCCCCAGGGTGTGATTGACATTGCTGTTCAGCACCAATCAGATCAGAGCAACTCAAAATCTCTCCATCACAATGTACTTTGACTTCTTGTGCTTCTGGATTTTCCAATGGTGCCCCCCATCCATCAGCTGCACTTCTAACAAGGTTACCAACATCCCTACTCACTGGGGTTTTGTGGAAATCTGTTGTAAGCTTTGAGGATATCACCACATCTCCTAGCTGGGCTTTGTTAGGATTCAAACTGTGGCAGAAACCAACCAAAAAGGTAGCCTTGGGTCTCAGGAGTGTGACAGCACTTTTAGCTGCAGTTTGAGAACCTCCAGGATCTGAAGATTCTTTAGAACACCTCACTAGGGCAACTTTCAGTGACCCACCTTTCTCTTCACCCATCTTTCCAAAATACACAAATCCAATGGATTTCTCATAGCTTTTAAAGGAATCTCTCAGGTAATGAAAACAAGCCAAGAACTCGCAATCCTCCACAGTCAAGAGCAGAATATCAACTGCAGGATAGTCCTTGCCCCAAAGTTTCATCTTCTTTGGCAGATCTCTTGTCTTCTTCAGTGTAATACTCAGAGGTGGAGGGTCATCACTGCAAACCACTGACCTGCTGCACTTGTCATCACTAGGTCCTGCCATCATAAAAATTGGATCTGTGTTCAAAGTTTTCCTGGAAGTGAACAATTTTGAGTCCTCACCAGGAATAGAACCTAACACATCCAGATTCCGCGCTCGGACACTCCACCACTTTAAGTGTAGTATAAGTTATTAAAACGAAAGCTTACTATGAAATTTCTTCATTTGACAATTATAATACCTGCAAGCCTTCTACGTTTATTTTCTGAAGGATCATCACTTTTACAACTCTCCTCTTCAGCTGAAATGTCTGCAAAAGGGAAAGGAAAGTCAAACTGTAATGAGCATTAAAACACATCTTTACTAAATTTGTGAAATGGGTAACAAGCAGGAGTCGAAATAAGTGCTGATTGAAGATCAAAATCTCGTCTCTAAAAGAGACAACAGAAAATTGATGGACTTCAAGAATTGAAATTCATTAGAACGGAATAAAAGCTAAGATTTAGATCTCAACAAGGTTTTAACCCGCTCAGTAGCAGTTAGGTATTTCGTAGAAAGGTAAACAAAGAAAATTTGGGTTCATCTTACTACGCACAAGAGTCTGGACACGAAAACAATAATTAGGAGGGCAAGGGATAAACTCTCCCTAATCTGGAATTTTAGAACCTTATCCATGACTACAAAATTGGAATTAAAGCTACCAAAGTGAATTTGCTCATATCTCAGACTTTTTGAAAGTTCTTTTTTACAGCAATGCGATTGAAAGACAAAGAATGCTTATGTTTTTCAGTTTTCTGATATTTATTTAACTCCGCTGTTGCTCTCCATGTTCTCATCAGCAGACAACGATACTCTCTACAAAGGACAACAAGCAAGCGTATCAAGAAATGGTCTATTTTTCTGCCTCAACTTTTCCGTTAAGCATCAAATAAAAGCCCTTCTGTAATTGGTAGTACTGAGGGACTTTGGCCGAAGGGAGGCGGAAAAGCTCGTAACTCATCGGGAAAATAATGGGAGTGACAATTTTTTCTGCATAGGGGGAGTGGGTAGTGTAAATATGCACCAGTTAGATCAATCTCCATCGGCGTACCCAAGGGTATACTTGACCCTCGATGAGCGCATTAAGCCAAAGGTTCGTAAGTTTAAAAACAATTAAAGTTATCCTTATTGCAGTGACTCATTTAAACCACTTCTCTCTATATGCAAGTCAAGTCGCCTTGTAAAAAGTCAACACACAAAAATATTTTTTGGTCTTACTACTGATGATAAATGCAATCGAAAATGACTGTTTTCTGTAGAGAGCCTCGAGGCATTAAAGACCTTGTTTCTAACCGTAACCCTAACCCTAAGGGAGAATTAATGAGAGGGAGATATGCCGGAGAGCGAATCAGCATTTACTCAGAAGATTCGAGTGTTCCAACTCAAGAGAATGAATTTCGGTTTTGTACGTGTCACTTTTATAACCAAGGATGGAATTGAACATGAAAAAATAACATTATTTTGTAACAGGGAACGTCAGGCCTCTGTGTCCAACCATCCGGTAAGATGGATTTTCATAACAAGATTCATACCCGTAGAGCTTAAGTTTCTTTCTTTAATCGGTAAGCTATCTGTGCGCGAAAATCAACTTTTCATGAACTGATATGGAAAACCAATTGGCAGTTTACTCCGCAGAGAATCTATTTCGGTTTTGCGCGCTCACCTCTATAACTTCAGATGGATTTGAGCATGCAAAAATGAAATATTTATTCTCTTTTAACAAGGAACCTCAGGCTTCACGGTCCATCCCTTTGGAACTGTTTGATTTTCATCACAAGATAAACTAGACCCTGTGAGCAGGGTAACTGGGATACCTGGAAGGTACTGGATCCGTGGAATCAAGTGTAGTGATACTACGCGTGTCGGACTAGTATACTGAAATATTGAGCTCAAGTCTGGCCAAGGGCATACACCTGTCTCAAAACATAGGCATGCTATGCATGCAAGAGTTATTTTTTCTAGGGTGGGTGGATTACTTGAAACATTGTAAGTGGTCTACATTCTTACAAAAGGAAAGAAGATTATTAACGCGGGAAAGAATGAAAATGTCGAATTACCTCACACACAGGTATTTTGTGGTAGATTATGTGTGTTGTGCGAATAAATGTAACCAAAAATAAACTGTATTTGTGCCACGGATACCTGTTAGTACAAAATGTAGACAGCAGACTGCAGACCGGATACAAAATATAGACTGCAGAGTGGGTAAAAAATGCAGACTGAGAATCTGAAGAGTTTTCACGTCTGGTATATAATAACATGTCATCTTACAGCATACCGAGCGTCACGCAATCGCTTTTCCGCGATCAGCCTTCACGATTATTTGCACTATTGTGGAAAATTCCTGGCCCATTTCTTGATGAAAATCGATCGTAATATAATTTCAAGCCTTCAACATAGTCTTCTTACTTTGCGCGCGAGTTGGTTGATGTGATGTCAATACAGATTTTACCAATGTAATAAAAGTAGATGACGTGAATAATGGTGATGGTAAAGCAAGCTTAAAACGGCAACAATCGCCAAAACTACAACGGATACACAGGGTATGAGTAAGTTTTATTGATTTTTCGAGAAAAATATCCATATTTCGAAATATTTATCGTTGTAAATCGACCATATTTCGTTCCCTATACTATTCCTTATAACGTGTTCAAATTTTCAACGGTTCCTAGAATAACTTACTCTGAGTCACACAACGCGTGACGCGTTCGTGAATTAATCGTTGGCTCTTTCTCGAAACGTGACCTTGGGTCGCCTGTGACAAGACAATTGCGTAAACAATACTTGACATAATAACATTATACACAAAAAACACGGGATTTTGGATCATGTATTTATTAAAAAAAAGGAATATCCATACAACTACAATGAAAACAAACATAAGATTCACCTTTTTGATCGTGAAATTAATACCATTCGCACTGTTATCGTATTTTTTTTTATCGTGAAATTAATACCATTCGCACTGTTATCGTAGCTACGTTCCCTGGCATCAAGTGAATCCAACATGGCGTCTTTCTTCACTAGCAGTTTGCATCCATTTGAATCTCGTTCTTCAGTCTCACGGTAGTAGTGTTGTTCAGTAGATTGCATAGAGTATATGCAGTTTGGTTTCAGATTTCAGATTTTGCTTTTTACAACGAGTTTACGTTTTCAACTAAGACATTGGCATACTTGGCATACAAGACATACAGGGCATTCAATGCTTTCATGGCTTTCAAGCGTTCACGATTCTGTCCGATCCAAAATTACCGCTCAATAACATCTTTTTGTGTGGATTGGCCGCGAACAATACGACTTGTGTATGCGTCTATAAGTATTTTGAGCGTCTGCCCCATAATGCTCCAGATGATCGTAATCTAATTACGTTGAAATACAAAACGACTGACAAGATAGTTTTATGGGCAAAAATCTCGTGTTCGTCATGTGACCCGGCCCTGTCCATGCATGACAACGTCAATCATCATCAAGAGAGCACGCGTGATCAGCATGTAAACACCTCATTGGATCACAGTTAGTTGTCATGGTGTTGAGGGCCCAATGACCTCTGGGTACTATTGCGCAATTTTTCCATTTTGTGGCGGAGGAAAAAAAAAAAAAAAAAAAAAAAAAAAGACGACAAAAAAACAAAGGCATTTTATGACTGGGCTACCACAGGTATCCCAGTAATCATCCTCTCACTGAAGCTTCTTTTTATCAACGGTAAGCTATCTGTGCGGGATAAACGACTAATTGTCTTCGTGCACTTTTCATTTTCTAGCGGGTGTGATTTGCACGATCAAATACATAACTATTAATAGTTATAAAACAATTGAGATAGTTCGATCGCACTCATAGGTCAACTAGTCAGTTTAAACCAGAGTCTGTAGACACAGCTAGTTGTGACGCACACTTTTAATGTTTGCCAGCGAAATTTGAAAACATTTCAAACTCAAAGTTTTCCCAATACTTGCAATTAATTTCAAGTAGAAATAGCAAATATTGGAATTGGAGGAAAATTTGCCAATTTTTATCTGGGGTTTGGCTACCTCCCATTCTACTGTCTTATCGCTGAGCCGCATGCTTGGCACTGCAGCTTTTAATACACCCTGCTCGCGCAACCGTGCACGGCCCTTATGAACGGCAGCCCTTGCGTCCTTTTGATATTGAGATATGCACATATTGATTTGATACTTCGCTGGCCGCATTTTGAGACAGAAAACCTTAGTTTTCCGAAACAATGCAGAACAAAACAAGCTGACTGCGTTGAATAACAATAGCAAAAACTCTCTTAAGACACACGCTTTAGCACGCTTTTTTTTGGCGCAGAACGCGAAAAACGTGCGAAGGTTTTGCGTGTGCGTTGGCCATCTACCTCTGAGCTACTGTAAGTTATTGAATAACGGCTGAGAGCACTTCACAGCATTCTTTGATAAAAGTTAAACGACAGAAAAAAAAGTTGATATCTCAGATTGGGAATAATTTCTCTTGAAATTAATTACTGGAAAAAATACGAAAACATTTAATGGCATTGAGCTATATACATGGCTAAAATAAGTAAAAACCAAACATTTTCGACACTTGGTCATCATCACCCTGATGATGACCTACTTTTGGCAACATATAGGTTTTATTTTTAAAATATTTTAGCCTTTAACAGTATCTTTTATTCACCTTTCATTCTTGGAAGTTCCATACGTAGCTCTTTTAGTTCTAGTTCTCCTTCAGGATCAGACGTGGGAGGTACAAGGAGAGGAACCGTGTCTAAAAACAAAGGTATACAGAGAGAGATTAGCATTCGATGACTTTTCTATATTTAAATAATTAGAGACAAGCATACCAGCTTGTATTTAAAGATAGGTACATGGGCACTATAGATTGCTTTTTTTAAACCAAGAAGCTTAAAAACCGAAAAAAAAAGTCGAGAAAAGCTAAAAAAGTTTTCAGTCTACAAGTAAGTATTTATTTATATGTTCATTTTCACATGGAAACTCAGCACTCTCCTTAACTATAGAAGAGAATGAGGTAAAAACACCTTTGAAATAATTTGCATTGACCAGTATCATTTTTCATAATTGCTGACAGAAGCATTCTTGGTATTTATAACATTAATTTCTATTTCAAAAGATGACTAAAACCACACTCAGGTTCTTTTTTCATTTCTCCTTTCTTTTCCTAACAGCTTCACTCCACAGTTTTTCAGGCCAATTTATGCACCTATGAATTCTTCCACTTCTTCAATATCAATACATCAAAACAACAAGTCAGTGATTTGCCATGTTGTTTTCCTTAGTTGATATTGGAGCATGTGAGAGGGAACTGAAACCAAACTGAAACCCATGCTAGAATTCAATGAGTCAAGAAAAACAACTGAAAGTGGTAAACCCCACATCCTTTCATTCATTTCAACATGGTTTGATACCAGCTAAAATCAACTAAATGGACTTAAAAGTGGTTTTTTATTTCCCAATAACAAAAAGAAAAACTCAACCAACATGAAGAACCATGTTTCAATTACATTAACTTGAAAAATAAGTTCAAACTGAGCATCCTGTTCACCTGTCCTTCCCCTTGATTGTTCTAGTTCTCTTCCATAACCAGTAGTGGGTATTACAGTGTGGGGTGTAGTATCTAAAGGTAAAAAATGCAGAGAGAGATTAGCATTCACAGCCTCTCTTCAAATGTTCTGTTCCCAAGATAATTCTTTGAAGATTTATCACATAAATGTTATAACTGTTCACAACAACTTAATTCCCATAATAACTTAATAAAATATTTTAATTTCCTTTCCACCTTCTGATTTTGCTGTCTCCATAATCTTTGTCTTCTGTTCACATTTTCCCAGTTGCTCTTTTTTTTGCAGGCCTTCACTGGTTGAACCTGTGGGGTGGAATTCAGAGAATAAAGCACCTAAAATCAGATTTACAAGATGACAAACACTTTAAACCATAAACACACCTCAAACTATTCTTGAAAACACCCAACACACAGAAACTAGTGAAATAATTATCTTTTATAGCCCCTCCAACAAAAATCTTGTCAATTAATCTTTGAGTGATGTATGTAATCTAACATATTAAGGAAAGACAAATACAACCCTATGGAAAGGAAAACATCAAGCCAGATATCTTAGTAGGAAAGATAACAGGTTACTGGGGGGAGATGTTTGAGAAACACAAAACATCAAATGAAATGTCTTGCAGACAAACTACTTCTTGCATTGGCATGGTTTACATGCTGTAGTTGGCATGAGTTTATTCATGAGACAAGTTCCATCAATCTTGATAAAAAACTGGACTCATCCCTCCATGACATGTACCCTACCATACTCCATGTTGAAAGACTGTTGGGTTTCATTCAAAAACCTTTACATGATAGGACCAGGTCTTGTTACTTTCTGTCTACCAACCTCTAACTGCATTTTTCTCAAAGAACATTTTGCATGCATTGTACTCTTCTATGTCCATTGTTGTCTTCAGCCTCAGCTCAGCCAGGTTCAGTTCCTTCAAGATCTGTTCAGTTACAAAACAATTTTGAACCATTTCACCCAGATGACCAGATAAATAATCTGCCCGCAACTTCTCCAAGTCCATTAGAGATTCACACTTCACCGTAATCACCAAACTTCCTCTAGAGACACCAATAATGGCAAATCTCATTAATGTCGCATATTCCAAAAATTTTTCGAACCCTTCAATGGACTGTAGCTCTGTAGCGTTGAAATACTTTCTAACAATTGATAGAAAGAATTCCTCTTTAATAGCGTGGAGATCTTCTGTTTTAGGACAAGACACATCTCCAGATGCAGCTGATGTAGCAGATACCCTAGGCTGCTGAACCTCTTGGTATCTGTCAGACTCTGTTGCCAGCATGCCAGTCTGCTTATTCTGCTCTTCAGGTTTCAAGTGATCCACATCAACCTTAATTTTCAATTCACCATCTGTCAAATTGTAACAGTCAAATTTAATCCTAATATAACAAAATTCTTTTACCTGTTACCTATATAGCCATTGAAATGCAAGAACATGATATTGAGGCAACACCAATCAAAAAGAAAGCTTGTTAGCAATGAATAGATTACCACATACAGTATATATCTATTGAGCACTTCAGTTTCAATTTCTTTTACATCTTTATCTTATTCCATAGTAGAATCAAAATTCTGATTGATCTAAACAATTACAGTTTCAAACATGGAAAGATCTCAACAGATTTAGCTGGGGTTAGGATCACTTTTCTCTTGTATAGCAAAGCCTGTTGTTAACAATGTTGCGCCACTTTTCTTGATACGAGTTACAAGATCTCTTGGAAGACTTAACCAAAGCTGTTACAAAAATGTACATGCACCTCCGTAACAAGGCCTGAGTCTCCAAACACAAAAGAGTTACTCAACATGTTTGAGTAATTTCTTAATAACCCCCTCTAATCTCAAATTTTAGAATGTTATTTGTGAATTCAAAATGGGTATTAAAGCTACCAAAGTGAAATCTCAGACTTTTAAAAGTTCTTTTTCATGGCAATGCAATTGAAAAACAAAGAATGCATATGTTTATCAGTTTTCTGATACATATTTAATTCCACTGTTGGTCTCCATGTTCTCATAAGCAGATAGCAATATTCTATACCGAGGAAAACAAGCAAGTTACAAGATCTCTTGGAAGACACAACCAAAGCTGTTACAATAATGTACACGTACCTCCGTAATGGGGCCAGTCTTTAAACACAAAAGAATTACTCAACATGTTGGATACAACAGAAGCTGCCATAACACAAGCAAAAGTCTTCCATGAATTGTTTGTTGATGCAACACCCTGTACCAAACCACAAACACCTTTAACAACAATCCACTCCACCTTCATGTCATGAGCTACTGCAAACAGGCCTGAGGTAGAAAAATGAAAAAAAAAAAAAGCAATAACGATTGGAATGGATTTAAACAATAATATTATAGGGAGATAGTTACAATTAATTTGAGCAAAAGAAGCTTCGTTTTTCTGCAGATCACTCTTTATGTTTTTTCCTTTGCTACTGGAAGTCTTTAAGAGATTTTGTGTTTTTCTGTAGGTATGTAAATTAGCACCACTCTTCCTAGAGAGTATGAATGTGTCGGGCAGGGTACCTTTTTGGTCATAACAGTATATCAAAGAGTAAGAATTTGGAATTCAAGAAAGAGTTTCCTCAAACAAAAAGTATAGAGTACCTTGCCTCCAACAAGAACCTGGCTTAAGAATCTAGCAACCAGAAGCCAAGTAAGAGTAACTCTGAGAGTAATTCTCACCTTTTCCTTCCATATCAACTGCAATTGCCCCAGGGTGTGATTGACACTGCTGTTCAGTATCAATCAAATTAGAGCAACTAAAAATCTCTCCATCACTATGTACTTTGACTTCTCGTGCTTCTGGGTTTTCTAATGGTGCCTCCCATCCATCAGCTGCACTTCTGACAAGGTTACCAACATCCCTACTCACTGGGGTTTTGTGAAAATCTGTTGTAAGCTTTGAAGATATCACCACATCTCCTAGCTGGGCTTTATTAAGATTCAGACTGTAGCAAAAACCAACCAAAAAGGTAGCCTTGGGTTTCAGGAGTGTGACAGCATTTTTAGTGGCAGTTTGAGAACCTCCAGGATCTGAAGATTCTTTAGGACACCTCACTATGGCAACTTTCACGGACCCACCTTCATCTTCATCTTCACCCATCTTTCCAAAGTACACAAATCCAATGGATTTCTCATAGCTTTTAAAGGGATTTCTCAAGTAATAATAACAAGCCAAGAACTCGCAATCCTCCACAGTCAAAAGCAGAATGTCAACTGGAAGATGGTCTATGCTCCAATCTGTCGTCTTCCTAGGCAGATCTCTTGTCTTCTTCAGTGTAATACTCAGAGGTGGAGGGTCTTCACTGCAAACCACTGAGCTGCTGCACTTGTCATTACTAGGTCCTGCCATCATAACAAACTGGATCTGTGTTCAAAGTTTTCCTAGAAGTGAACAGACAAAATCAGAAAATAATTTAAAGATAAACATCAGAGGTAAACATAGATATTAAATTGTCCCTTTTATTAATGATTTGGACTGTAAAGACTGACTACTGCTAAGTCTGATTTTTTCAATAAATACTTCATCATCATTATCATCACGTATGCTCCATATTTCTATCTCTACCGATACAAAGTGTTCATTAATATTTAACTATAAACCACAGTTTGAGATTTCAAAGAGCAAGTATTCTAACCATTATTTCCCCCCTCAGGTGGGTAAAATTTTTTAAATGCAGCATGCAAAACCACAATGTGAAGTTTATAAGCAGTTACTGGTCTGGTGTTGATGAAACCAGAGAAAATCAGTTCCTAATTTAAAATGAAAAATGGCTTTTGGAGTAACTTTGGAGAGGCCAGATTATGAAGTACAATTTGAAGTTATGGCTGCCCCAATCAAATTTTCAGAACATTGAGAGATTATTTCCAACTGTTTAGTTATATTCTTTGTATTCTCACAAAAAATTAGGTCGGAGGTCTCCGGAGACATTTGAGTCAGCAGCTACAAAAAAACACACTATTTGGCAGAGGCTAAAATTTCATTTTGACAAGCGTTTTACTCCTTTGTCTAATCTAGGCACAGAGTGTAGTGGATGCTTCAGACGTGTGTAACCAGCAAAAATGCCAGCCAACAGTGCTTCTTGAGAACAATGATTCATTTGGAACATCTTGTCCCAACACTCTGAGGAAAACTACATTCGCACTACCCAAAACTCATTGTTGTGTTTTGATTTCAACCAAGACCCTCATGGTCGACTGAGGAACAAAGACTGTGTTCATTGAGTTATCAGTATTGCCTATGTGGTCTGTGCTGGCAAACAAACACTAGTAGATTAGGAAATTTAACGAATAAAGGGGTAAGTTTCTAAAGAAACTGTGGTGCTGCGTCGGTGGGAGAGTATAGCAGGTAATTAAGTGTTAACAACTGGGTTGAAAACGTAAATTAGCCACTGTAAAGGGTAAAAAAGCTGACGTTTTGAGCGTTAGCCCTTCGTCAGAGCGATTGACGAAGGGCTAACGCTCGAAACGTCAGCTTTTTTACCCTTTACGATGGCTAATTTATGTTTTCAACTCCGTTGTTAACACTAAATTACCTGCTATGAAATTTAATGCCCTGCTTAGTTTTGTTTGATTTTTGTTTTTACTTCAACTGAAAGCTGTTTTTGTAAATAGAATTTGAAATGTCAAAATGTATATACATGTAGATTTTGAACAATTAATTGATTTAGTTAGGAAACCCTTCTTAAAGAGATATCCTCAGAGGCCTCCCTTTCAAATACCGTATATTTGTGTTTGATTTAAGAGTTATTATCATTATTACATAATTCATGCCAACTCTCCTCTCCTTAGCTCTCTCGTACAGCTAACCAAAAATCCTGGATAAAAGAAAGTTGGATCAGTTGCCCACAAAAAACTAAGATTTAAGCTCCATACGTTCCAAAATTCCAAAATCATCTGACTTCTTATGCTTGTATTACGGTTTCTGGCTTTATTTTCTAGCATGATGTGTGTTGTCCGTGGCAAACAAAAAGAAGAAAGTTTCTTCTTTGTTACCCCTATACAGATTGGATGAGTATTCAACCAATTGAAGTCCCTACAGATAGATCTGTGTTTTTCCTGCAAAATTGCTCGGGGGGGGGGGGGATAGGGGGTCCAAATAAAAAATAAGTTTTTTTTTGGGGGGGGGGGGCCCTGCTGATCTGAATAAAAAGAATTTCCAGATTTGAGATCTCCAGAGGTTGGCATCTGTTATTACTTTTATAATCATTATAATTATTTTCATAATTCTATATAACACTTTTAACAATAGAGCTAGAAGTATATTGATTTGTAACTCCTTTAAGATTCATAAGATCAAGATTCTTGTAAGTTAGCCCAAGAAGGAGGAGGTACCATAGGAAATGTTTACAGAACAGTATGGAGAACTTGCAGACTGATGTTAGGGTGTAAAGGGTTAAGGAAATAATGACCAGCTAAAGAGGCTCTTGATTATTGAACAAATTCTCTTTATCTGCACCTTAGGAAATGTACTGAGAACAGTATGGAGAATACAGAGACTAATGTTAGGGTGTAAAGGATTCGTGTATGAGCAATTAACCCACTTAAAACAAAACAGATCCACAATCATAAAATAACCAACATTGGGAAGTTATTCACCTCAGTTCATATCTTAAGACATAAAACTCACCCATGCTGCAAAAAGTTATTCCTGTGTTCAGAAACCCAGATCCTGTTGCCTTTTTGGACAGTTGTCTGCTGGAAATAAAAATTATATGAACACATCATTTAGCACAGAAAACATGCCTGATAATCCATAACATTTTACATTATAAACCAGCTTACCAAAATTTGTGCATCTTCATAAATATTCCCTCAAATGTCAAGGTTCATAAAATAATTACATGTAACCTGTGTTTGTATGGTTTCTTTTAACATCAGTCATTATTATTTCCAGGCAATTGGTACAAGTTGTACCTTTAGGTGATATTCGCAAATTTACATTATCATGAAATTTACCTTTTCAGACTTGATGGCTGATCCTCATGAAGCTGTTTGTAGTATGTTTTAGTTTCCCCTTTCATAAATTATGTAATATTGGAAATTAATTTTAACTGAAATAAAAGGTTTGCATTAATATTCTGTTTACTGAACAATGAAACCTCACTCTCAGTTCACTTAATTTACAAATGGGTTTTATTCATTAGCTTGGGTTGGTGCTAGTTTTTTGTTATTGTCCTGTTCAAGCAAAAGAGTTTATAACATGGGCAGTAAGTGAAGCAAAACACAGTATTGTTTTTCAATCCATGGACCAGGCGAAGAGGTACAATAGTCTTTAGCTCTTAAACAAGCATGGTGACCTATATTTTTTTTTTGCATAATTTTGGTGTACAGTTTATCCCTTTAAATTGGGAAAATTAAAAAAAAATTCTTTGAAGAGAAAAAAATTAAACTAATAGCATGCACAAAGCCTGATACTTTAGGGTTCAAATTAAGACTTTAAGAGTAATGACTCAAGAAATGCCTTGAGCCGATATGTCGTTTTAATTTGAGTGATTTTTCCCACAAATTATACATCAAATTCTTCCATATGCTCAAGACTTTCTACCTATCAATTTTTCTCCAACTGTTGCTTTAAAAACCCTTGCTTCCAGGAGGTGAAGTCGAAAGGAGTCTTAATATTCAAACAAGTGTCACCCCTTGTACGTAATTTGCATCAAGGTTCTTCAAAATGTCTCTGGACATGCAGTGGTTTATTGAAGTGAGTCTCTATCTAAAAGCAAGCTGTCGACATGTTGTGTGTTGTGTGGAGAGATCAGTGTGCTTTCTTTAAACTAAAAATTATTTTATTTACCTTTAATGTTATAGTTTTAATGTAAAACAAGAGAATGTAAACTGATTCTCTTGATGTGAAAGTATGTGTTGGCCTTTTAGGTGGGATAGAGGTATGAAATAATTGGCAAGCCTATTAACCCACTTCACCCCACCTCCAAATGATGCCAGAACACATCCTTTAAACTACTTCTTGAGACAGTAATTTTTCATGCAGATATCTCATTTCTGTATTTGTATAAGAAATATTAGAGAGAATACTACTGATTGTAGTTAAAAACCCATCAGCTTGAGTGCCAAGTTTCCATTGTTTACCCTTATCTGATTAACAGCACCAATCAACGTTTACAACAGTGACCTAAGTTCACCTCATCTGGTCACATCTAGCATTTATCAGGCAGAAAACATATCAGTGTAATAGCTATCTGATTCTTAAATGTGCTTGCTTTCCACAAATGAATGTTGAACTTTGAAGGGAATATTTTTTTCCTTCTAAACAAAAAGACCTTCTGCACCTAAATTAAAATGGAAGGCAGTTTTGTACATTCCACAGCTTTCAACAAGTAGATCAAATTAGCAACAGCACTGAAACTCGATCAGGAAAACTGTTTTTAGCAATAATGATCTTAGACAGAGTATAAGCCAACTCAGCCCCCGATTTCCTCAGACAAGAATCAGAGATTTGCATTTCGATTCGTAAACATGACTTGAAAAATATCGAAGAACGGGGCCATTCTGCGACTTATCAATGAAGGTCGAAATGAACATCGAGAGATTTAACGTACATAACTTAATTTCTGAAGATATTATCGATGATAAGGGTCAGTCTTGATTCAAATTTGTCTCTAATTTATCTCGTTTATATATTTCCATTCTATTGTCTTCGTTAAGGAGGTGATTCAAAGCGAAACATGTTCAAGTTTAATTACCAAGCAAATTGACCTTGCTATGTTAACAAATTTTCATGCTGCATTGAAATATTTTGATTTTAACACAACCTTGTGGGGATTAAATATAATTATTTGCTGCAGCTTGTGGTGGATAACGAAAACATTACCTCTCAACTGAGCACAAAGACAGAAGTAGTTTTTCATTATTGAAATAACAAGCATGACTTGAATCGTGCTTTGATGAAGCGGAAGTTCGGCGATATTTTCTGGAATTCAACTACACTCAACTGAAATGCGTACCAAGAAGACCGACAAAATCTCAGGACGTCAACTTACCGTTTGCCCGAGGTCCCAATCCGTCTTGTAAATGTTCAGCAAGATATCGTTTAAGCTGAAAATTGTAAAGCACCGTGGGTGTCAGTTACGATCAAATAGTTAATAACATTCCAAAACCCACCCACCGTTTATTCATACACGCATTATGGCAAGCCAATTATTACAAAAGTGGGTTGCATTCAAAGTTACATATCGAGTTTCAGTTATCGATATGTGAGATTGGGACATCATTGCATCAAGGTTCTTCAAAATGTCATGCGGTGGTTTATCGATGTTAGTGTGTATCTTTTCTTGATTAATAGCACCAATTGACGTTTATAGCAGTGACTTTATGTGACCACATCTGGTCACATCTAGCATTTATCAGGCAGAAAACATATCAGTGTAATAGTTATCTAATTCTTAAATGTGCCTGCTTTCCATGAATGAATGTTGAACATTTAAGGGAATAAATTTCCTTCTGAACGAAAAGACCTTCTGCACCTAAATTAAAAAGGGAGGGAGTTTTGTGTATTCCACAGCTTTAAACAAGAAGACCAAATTAACTACAGCACTGAAACTCGATCAGGGAAACTGTTTTTGGCAATATGATCTTAGACAGAGTATAAATCAACCCAGCCTACGATTTCCTCAGATGAGAATAGGAGATTTGCATTTCGATTGGTAAAGGTGGCTCGCAAAATATCAAAAAACGGGGCCATTCTGCGACTTATCAATGAGGGTCCAAATGAAAATCGAGAGATATAAAGGACAGAACTTAATTTCTGAAGATATGATCTATGATAATGATCAGAGTCTTGATTCTACTTTGTCTCTAATCTATCTTGTTTATATATTTCCATTCTATTGTCTTCGTTAAGGAGGTGATTCAAAGCGAAACATGTTCAAGATTAAGTACCGAGCAAACTTAACTTGCTCTGTTATCAAATCTGTATGCTGCAGTGAAATATTTTTAATTTTAACACAACCTTGTGGGCATACAATATAATTTGCTGCTGGATAGCGAAGACTTCTTCTCGATTAAGCACAAAGACAGAAGTAGTTTTTCCTCGTTAAAATAACAAGCTTGGCCTAAATCGTGCTTTAATAAAGCGGAAGTTCGGTGATATTTTCTGGAATTCAACTGCACTCAACTCATATCTGTAGCAAGAAGACCAACAAAATCTCACGATGTCAATTAACTTACCGTTTGCCCGAGATCCTGATCCGTCATGTAAATGTTCAGCAAGATGTCTTCCAGGCTGAAAATTGTAAAGCACCGAGAGTCTTAACTACAATCAAAAATTTAGTAACATTCTCAAACCCACCCATCGTTTATTCATACACCTATTAAATATGGCAAGCCAATTATTACAAAGTGGGTTGAATTGAAAGTTACCTACAGTATCAAGTTTCAGTGATCGATAAGTGAGATTGGGACACCACTGCATCAAGGTTCTTCAAAATGTCTCTGCGCATGCAGCGGTTTATTGAAGTTAGTGTGAATGCAATCAATTAACGTTGACAACAGTGACTTTATTTTACCACATCTAGTATTTATCAGGCAGAAAATGTATCAGTAGAAGATTGAAGATCAACAAAACCTCAGGATGTCAACTTACCGTTTGCGCGAGATCCTGATCCGTCTTGTGAGTGGTCAGCAAGATGTCTTCCACGCTGGAGAGCAAAGCACTGTCCGGTTGAGCTACGATCGAGAAGTTCGTCAACACTCCAAAACCCAGCCACCCTTCACACCTTCAAGTCACGTGCTCTTTGAAACATCAACAGAAATGATTGCATAACGCTAATAGATAACGCTGTGGGGAAAACGCAAGAGTCACGCGATCATGCACAATTTACGTGTTTTTATGCCCTTTATTCAAACAACTTAGAGAAAAAAACTTGGGAGATCCAAGTCTTGTCAAAGTCGGAATTCTTAAATGCTTGTTTTCTTACCTTTTTTAACTGCAGCTGACCTGCAGGGATCATTTCCTAGCCTATATTTTATCTGCGGGTTAATTAAGAATTTGTTCATGCTTAGCGTACGTATATCGAGTTATGGATGGACGCCACCCACCATTTACGACTTCAATTCAAGTGTTATTTTTAAACATCTAAAGGCATGTTTGCATAACGCTAATAACAAACGCCTGGGGGAAAATGCGAGAGTCACGAGATCATGCTTAGTTTTTTTTATGCCTTTATTCTCACAAACAATTTAGAACAAAAACCAAGAGATTCAAGTCCTGTCGAAGCCGGAATTCTTAAATACTTCTTTTCTACACTTTTTTTTAACTGCATACTGCTCACTTGCGAGGATCATTCCTCATCTATATTTCATCTGCTGGTCAACATTTCTGACCAGATTCTTCTACGGGAACGAATAAACTTAGTAAAATTTGTGGGAGAAAAAGTTAAGGTTTGCTACGGCTTAACTACTAGACTCGTCAACAGTGCTGAAGTCGATTTAATAACCATGAGTGGAGTTCCTAGGAGAACTATTGAGGATTGCTTTTTTTTGTGAGAGGGCAGAGTAACAAATCCTGCAATCTAATTAGTTCTTTTAGTAGCCCGGAATTATTCTTATCTCTGCCCAAGGGCAAGGTAATTACGCTTTCGTGGGTCGCTGAGTACATCCCTAGCTTCTTTGCAATTTTTCATAATTTTGTTTTGCCGGTTGGGCATACTTTCAAGGAATTTTTTTTTTCGAAATGAATTTGTGGTAGCAAATGTGTCATTAATAAATTGGTTGACACGCGGCATAAAAACTGTTTGTAACTGACTTTAATCCTTCACAAAAGAAACTGAGAAAGTTAAGACTGTGAGGTATTTGTTGATAACTGAATTAATCGATGGAATTTTTATTCATTTAATATTTGTATCCTGTTAAACGGTGAGCGAAGTTTTCAGACCTACTACAAATACGCTTTCGGTAAGGCTTTGCGAGTCCGTTCAATTTGGTCATTTGTCGTTTTTTTTTCTTATTTTTATTTCTTAAAAGAGTATATGCGCCTTTTTCTTACGTGCTTTCTCATTGACAGGTGTCAGATTGTGACAGATACCATGCAATCACGTTTTTTTCTTGATGTTCTCTATTACAACGATATTGTAATCAAGCAACTCTATTATATAAGGAAAAAATTATATCAGAGCACTCTCGCTTGTTCTTTACCCTGATATTTACAAAGAGTTAAATGTAATTGAAAATTCTAAGTAGAATTCTGTTCCAATTCACCTTCCTACATGTGCTTAAGGTGGCTCTAGATAGTTTTTCTTGGCGCGCGAAGCATGGGTACGAATGGCGCGAGCGCGCAAGTATTTAAAAGAAAAGAAAAAAACAATAATAAACACGGCGGTGAGACTTTTATCGCGAGTCGCGTTCTACTTACCGCTATCTTTTTTGTCCCGAACAAGGAGTGGAGGGCAAAGAGGAAATTAGAGTTTCAAGGAATGGTGGAAGATTGGTCCCCACCGAAGAAAAGAGAAACCCGTCTAAGTCAGGTGTGGTTTAAATCTTGTTTTCGCTATACGTGGCACCAAGCAATTCACCTAAAGTTTTAAGACATGTGCTTCATCAAGACTTTCTTAGCTCTAAAATTGTTCTCAATTTGAACTTTTGTATCATACCACAGGTAGTTCATAGCAAATCATTTTGTCAACATGATTATACCTGAACATTTTGACATTTCATTTCAAAATTCCTTCAAATGTTTTGTTACAGTTACAACCTAATAACATAATTACCATTAAAACGTACAAGTTTTGAATTTTAATCAGAAACAAACAAAGAAGGAAAATTGCATTCCACATGGAAGTAGAATTATGGACGTGGATGTTTTGAGAAGTTCACCGAAATGTTGTCAGCACTGTAAAGCAGGTGAGATCCCATCCCAATAATCTCATCCATGACCAACCATTTTAAGGAGAGACTTTAAAAAAATTAAGATCACAGACTGTGGGCTAACCAGCTTACAGCTAAATACACATGTGTCCGAGAATTAATCTTCCTTCTTTCTCGAGATGTGAGCTTGGGACGCCTCTGCTCAAACTCCTTAATTACAAGCGCGACAACAACCTCAAGAAATCTCACCCCAGCACCCCGGGGTTGTAAGATTGTATGTAAACCGCGTTTTATTTTTCGACCACGGCTAGGTGGGTTATCTCACCTACCTGGGGTCCCCCACCTCCATGTAAACAGGCCCTTAAATTGACATACGATAACAAACTTATTTATTTCATTGTTACATTTTTTTTTCACAGATGGACGTTTCAGCTTGTCGAAAACGTGAAAAAGCTAAAAGGTACCACGCTTCCTTATTAAGTCACGGTTTATTCACTTGATTTAACGATTTTATTACAACGCTTCGATAAACTCCCACTCACAACTCTCTGCATATTCGAAAGGAACTCACACTAAAACGTTCAGTTGTAAGTATGGGGCGATAAAACACGTGCCGCATACATGTTTGTTTGGTTGTGTATAAATAAATGAGATCACTTAAAAATGTCAATCAAATTAAGAATAATCAACGTATCGGAATGTTTTCAAAACTTCACTCTTCGTGATGCTCTTGCACTGCCCTTACATCCAAGCAATCCAATTGAGGACCGAAGCATGATCTACACGGTTGTTTCGGACAAGACACCCTCTTTGGCTGATAGTGAAATTCAGTTCAGAGGTTTTGGATGGTCTGATAACAGAAACGATGACACCCTGGAGGACTTGTTCCCTGTAGGAACAAAACGAAGAATTCTCAAAACCTGCACCGGTAAGTGGTGATGCAAATACTATGGGAAAGGATAATTTATAAGTGCAAGCTATTAAGTTGTCAATAAATCCCCACTTATTATAACCTTTCTCTTAGGCTATCACGACAGTTACTATGTACCTGGGTTAAAAGTCATGGTTAGACCCAACGTTATCCATATCTTGGGATTCAATTTCAATGCCAGCCTCTATTCAAGCTCTGTTCAAAAACACCAACAAAATACTTTCTTTACTGTAGGTCTATTTCTGAGCATGTGCCCAGCCAGCTGATGGTAGATGATGAGTAAGTATGAGAAACTTACTGAAAATAATTCCATCCGTCAGATATAATGTTAAATTTGTATTCAAAACTTCATTCGTTGTTAATGAGCAACTCATTTGGGCTCATTTTGAGAAACGGCTAAGCGAGAAAACCTTCCCTGATAACATCTAAGTTTAAAGATCAATTATGACAAGTATTGAATTCATAGAACTACGTTGTACAATACCTTTGATGAGACAGAAGCATTTCTTTCATTCATTAGGGCCCCAGATGACACAGTAGTACAATGTATCAGTTTCTTGACTGTTACATGTTAACAAATATTGCACATGGATTGTATGAAATTATTAAAACCTAACAAAAGGAAGTGTTCATCTTTGTCAGAAAAGGCATCACAAAGTGTCCCTATTAATGAAATTCCACCAAAATACACATAATTACACCGAATATGACGTAAATGAAAGTGTCCGAAATAGTTAGCAAACAAGAAGTACTTTGAAACATCTGGGTTCATTTCTGGAGGGGAGGGTGGGGGGGGGGGTAGGGCGGGGTTATCACCCTAGAAAAGTTAAGAAATGCGAAGCTTAGCGGTTTTCCCGTGTTACGCATGCCCCAGGTCTCTTAGATTTTGCTTATTTCTCCAAGTGAGGCGATATACAAAGTTGCTGCCTCTCCAGGTGCGTGAGTAAATTGTAAACTTTTTTCCCTCATGATTTCTTATAACTGGGTAAGTTCATGTGAGCAACAACTTTGCGGAGGACGATAGCAGCATCTTTCTTCTGCAAGATCCAACTCGTCCAAGTCGACGTCCACCATATACGTCCTTGTACCAGACACTTCCGGGAGAACTGAATAGTACATCAGGCCTCCCAGATGAGGATTTTGAGTTTGTTGGAGGTAGAATTCGATGGAGATTCCACAGTCTTGCTGCCCCATGAAGTTCATCTCGCAATATAGGCATGAAACAAAACTTGAGGCATGCTACCGCAATACAGTCATTGTCATGATAAAGATCGCAGCTCCTCTTGTCCTTAACAAAATCTATCCACCATCTGGTACAGTCTTTTCCCAGTATTGACACCAGTCTTCGATTCGTTGGTTAGAAACTGATTTTCCAAAGATGAAACTGTCATGTCATCACCATCCGCTCAATCAAGTTCACCATCTCTCGCAGTTCCTCCAAGTTGCTGGACACAGTTAACAAAGTACTTAGAAATAACGGTAGGATCATTGTCAGTGTATCCAACGTCAAGCCATAAAATTTGCCTACTACATCCATCGATGGCTCCGTGGATACGAAAACCTAACAGCTTCAATTTACCATAGCCATCTATGTGCCACAAATGATTGGGCCCCTTGGTTATGTATTGCCTCCTTTTTAGGCCTTGCTGAACTCAACAGGATCAAGGATATTCAATAACTCCCGAACGTTTTCTTTGCCGATGCCATGAATGAATACAAGAAACAAAAAAAAGACGGTGGTCGTTTACTAATAGTTGAGTTATTTCCTTTTATCCGATGTTACAACCGCTTGCTCTGAGGTCTTCTTCCACAGCTTGAACAACCTGGCGTTTCTTCTTCGAGTCCTTTGGCTTTTAAAATCCTTTTCAACTGTCTAAGGCTTAAGCTGATGCCATGACTGAATACGAGAAACAACAAGATCTCTGTATACTCCAAGCCACGATGATAATAGCTTTCAATTAGGTCATCAC